TTGAATTTGATAGTTTTAAACCTTCGTGATGTTTCGGATGTCGATTGCAGCTAATTTGGACGTGCACTACATGCTAGAAATGTTATATTGACGTTAAAACCGTTTTTGGTGTGTAAATATGCCGTTAATCGTTCAATAATTTGTTCAAAATTTGGAAATTTTATACTTGAAGGATTTTGCCGTTCTTGGTGTCGTTTCCATATAATTTGTGGTTGCTGATGCTGATTTTGTATTCAGAAAACAGATGCGACTCATAGTTAGGCCCTTCTCATACTATTTTACCTATTAAGAGAGAATGTTCGGTGCAGTCATACCTTTGTTGTCCCGGATTGCAACAACTATTGAATGACAAAGAAAGACGAAAGAGACGGGCATTTCGTTAAGATTCGGAAGTGGACATGTTCTCTGACGGGATATGCCGCCTATGCTTCCATTAATGCCCTCCCGTCATCGTTTGTTGGGAAATCTGTACTTCCAGTCAGTCTTGAGCTCACTCCACGACAAGTAACATCTTGCAGCGAGCTAGTTCCGTCCGACCCGTGCCCCTGGAAATGAGGATATTGCAAAGATACCGTGAAACGCGATCGATCGCGACGCAGTGCCTGGGCGTGCCCTGAAGTCGCCGAGGCAGCCCCCAAAGTACATCAGACGGCGGGCGATACCATAGGCCGCGAGTCACAGGCGTTTGAGGCCCAGCGCGTCGCTGTAGTAAATCTACGCGCATATTGAGAGACCGTTACCACCATGACCTGACCAGCCGGAAGCTGGTTCTGGTTCCCTATGCATACACGCTAGAGGCCGGTTATCTGTTACAACAACTCAACGAAGGGAAAAGGATTAAAGCTGCTTTCATTCATATCTAAACAAAGTGGCACAAAGCCTGTGCATCGAAGTTCCAAGGGGCTAAATTGGATCAACTTTTACTAATAGTTCAGTCTTCTACCAGTGCTATTGATGTACCTGAAGAGGCACTCGAAGACTGGCGGCCAGAACCAGCTTCTGGCTGGTCAGGTCATGGTGGTAACTGGTAACGGTCTCAATATGCGCTTAGAGTTCCAACAGCGACGCACAGGGCCCAGAGTTGGACTGGGTCACTGGGTCACCTGGGTCACTGAATTAAACTGGGTCACATGGGTCTCTGGGTCACGTCATACTCTTTTCAGTTAGACCCAGTGACCCAACTTGACCCAGCGACCCAATTTCACCCGGGGACCCAATTCGACCCAGTAACCTAGTTTGATCGAATAACGCAGTTAAGTCAGTGCCCTCGGTTCAAGTGTACAGATTATGAAATAAATGAAACTTAATGCTGGTTTGTTGAAAATAATACTCGATTGCTTGACAACTGCCATTTCTGTGATGTTTGCTTTAATACTGCCGTAAAAAACCTTCCATGTCCCGAATTGTATTAGAATAATGTTATTTCTAAACAGTTCCCTCCTTCATTTCTTTGCTTCAGGGCTTACCAGTTTGCTTACAGGTGTTCATTCACATTTAATTTTTTTCTACTAGTTAGCTTAATCCAAATAAATCTTTTCTCTAAATACTTTCATTGACTACTTGACTATAAACTATAAACAAATGCATTTGATTTTTTTAGGTATTAGTTCTCTTGAATGAAATTGGGCTACGTGCTTGTTGGCGAATATTATTGAGGAAGTTTTTTTTAAAATTAAAAGTTACTTGAAATTGTTTTGGATGATACCTAACAAGAATTTAATTACTGGGTCACCGGGTCAAGATGGGTCACTAAGTAAAGCTGGGTCAAGATGGGTCACTGGGTCAAGCTGGGTCACCGGGTCAAGCTGGGCCACAGGGTCAAACTGGGTCAAGCTGGGTCACCGAGTCAAACTGGGTTACCGGGTCAACTGGTCACTGGGTCACCGGGTCACTGGGTCAGTAAACTAACTGGGTCACCGGGTCACTCTATGCTTGACCCAGTCCAACTCTGACAGGGCCTAAAACGCCTGTGACTCGCGGCCTAATCGTATCGCCCGCCGTCTGATGGACTTTGGGGGCTGCCTCGGCGACTTCTGGGAACACCTAGGCACTGCGTCGCGATCGATGGCGTTTCACGGTGTCGTTGCGATATCCTCACTTCAAAGAAAGGGCGTCGCCAGAGGGGGCAGGAAAGGGAAGCTGCCCCCGTCTGGAGATTAAAAAAAGTAGCAAAATGCAAAGCAACCAAAGTGTCTTGGTTTCCTTGACCGATAATTCCTTATTACAATTATTGTGGTTGTAGAGGGAAGACAGTACAACAGTAAAAGTTTATGTGCTCTGCACTATACCTACTCCTACAATTAATAATTTTTTTATCCTTCATATGTCAACTTGCCCATCTCTGGGCCATCAGCTGGCGACACTCTTGCTTCAAGGGGCACGAGTGGGACGGAACTTGCTCGCTGCGTGATGTTACTTGTGGAGTGACCTCAAGACTGACAGGAAGGAAGTACAGATTTCCCAACAAACGATGCCGGGAGGGCAATAAGGGAAGCATAGGCGGCATATCCCGTCAGAGAACATGTCCATTTCCGAATCTTAATGAAATGCCCGTTTCTTTCGTCTTTCTTTGTCATTCAATAGTTGTTGCAATCCGGGGCAACAAGGGTATGACTGCGCCGAACATTCCCTCTTAATAGGTAAAATAGTATGAAAAGGGCCTAACTATGAGTCGCATCTGTTTTCTGAATACAAAATCAGCATCAGCAACCACAAATTATATGGAAACGACACCAAGAAAGGCAAAATCCTTCAAGTATGGAATTTCCAAATTTTGAATAAATTATTGAACGATTAACGGCCTATTTACACACCAGAAACTGTTTTAACTTCAATATAATATTTCTAGCTAGTAGTGCACGTCCAAATTAGCTGGAATCGACATCCGAAACATCACGCAGGGTTAAAACTATCAAATTCAAAATTTAACCATTATTTTGAAAATACTCCAAATTTGGGGCCTAAGGGTCAGATATGCAACTTTTTAAGGCCGCCATTGGCACCAGCGACCCTAAATCATTCAAAAACGACCCCTAGAATGCCGAAATTCGTCAATTTTTACAGGTTTAAAACCTTGAACACTCTTTTGAACAAAAGTGTTCAAATTTTGAACCTACACGAAAATTTCGATAGGTGCTGCGGGCCAAAAGTTTTATTTGGACCTAATGAACACGTGTATCGAGTTTCATGCTTTTGTCACAAAATGCAGCGAAAAAATTTGTACCGCCTACGCTATATACGACCAAATCAGCTTGGTGATTGTTTCAAACTCTAACCAATCAGATGATTTTTTATCTGATTAAAAGCTAGGTACCGTCTTTTATTAATCTCCCTAAAATACACTCGATCTTATTGGTTTTAAATAGAGATAATTTTATTTTTAATTCACTCAAATGTTGTTGCTTCCTGGAAAAAACTCTCGATCAAAAGCCATGACATATCGTTCCAGCTAAAGCTGTCGCGATTTTATCACACTTTTGATCTCTAGTTTTTTCCGTTGCAGCAAAACTTTCGGGTAAAAATAAAATTATCCGAATAAAAATCAAGCTCTTGTGTATTTGCCCCTGATAAAAAGCTACCAAACTTTTAATCACTTAAAAAATCATCTGATTGGTTAGAATTTGAAACAATCACTAAGCTGATTGGTCGTACATTAATTGACTGTATTAACATTGAATAAGTAATCATAGACTTATTCAATGGTATTAGTCATTTAAAACAAATTCGTGTAGAGTTGGTTGTCTAGATTATAGCCATCTATTCCATGTTTGATCCGTTTTTGGGATGAAAAATAACCCCCTACTTTTCTGACGGAAATACACATTTTGAAGCATCAGGTCTCCGAATCAAACAAAATCTTGATCGGTCTGTCTGTACGCTAAGTTCCGGGTAAACGGATTAGAACCCAATGTTGTACACATATTCATAGACCCAAAGGAAGAGCTGAAAAGCTTTTGGTCGAATCGCGCATGCGCAAGTGTGTCCAACTCTCATTTCCGGCTAAATGGTACATATAGGGCAGAATTGCGCAGTTGTATGGGTGGTATTTGTGCTAGTCATTATTTCAAGAAAATCCGTTATATTACCACCAACAGTCTAGAATTTAGCTAAACTAGTTTCCTACGATTACGAATATTTCCAAACATGTTTCTCAGAAATCTCCAAGCTTTTGAGAACCAAAAGGATGCATCAGATTTCCGAAGTCCAAGGGATGCTTTGTAAGTAATTTTTTTAAAAAGGCCTACACGTAGACTTTACGCAATTTTTAAGAGGTTTTCGAAGTAGGTTTCTAATAATAGCTTTAAAAAAATGAAGGAGCTAATGTAAAAAATCAAGGCATCCAGATTTCAGCTACCAAATCAAGATCCGATGTTTTACCACTCCTGATGGAAGAAAGCAGTAGAGATCTGTTAAACCTAATCAAAAACTATCTTGTCTTTCATGTTTTTCCTAAGGTTGTTTGTTCAGTATTTACGCAGAGCAGCCAAAAACGCATTGGAAGGGGAGTTTAAAATTTATTTAAAAAAAATTACATTCTTAAATGTTTATCCCTACACAACAAATTTAAACTTGATTTTACATTTTTCACTTCAAAAAGATGGCGTCAGTGGAAAGCATTATACATAAAGAAAATTAATGATGACGTCATACTTCCCACCTTAAAAATAACGTATAGTTGTATCGATTAAACGTTTACTCTATGCCTGTATACAAAATTGTTAATGCAAAAAACGGGCCAGCGACTCATTACGATTGTCCAAAGGAGTAATTATAGATTTTCTTTTAACATGAAAACTACAACTCATTGCTTCTTGAAAAACAGTAGTCTCCTAATCTCAAATGGACTGATGAAAAAAAGTGTACACTTGTCACTAAACACACGAAGGTCATGGTATACAGCACTCAACATGACGGTACGTTGTTCTTTTTCCATCCAACACCCTGAAAGGCTACTCACCAACCCCAAAATTAGTTTTTCCATTGTCACAACTTACAAAAACTAGTACTTAGATCATTTAATGAGTACAATTTCGAATACATCAACAAAATAAAATGCATGATACCGAATAAATAATTACAGCTTACCTTATGCTACGTAAGTTTCATATAAAATAATTAGGTTCTATATGCTAATACAAAAAAGTTAAAAACTATGTCTGCTTTTTAATATGGAGCATATCTCCTGGAAGGGGAGGGTCCACGCATGACCGGGCTAAACAAACAGTAACACATTAGAGAATTAAAACAATTTAATAAAACGCAACGTACCGACGATCATCGAACAAGTCCCGACTAAAATCTTCGTACATGCGAGCACCCCGAGAACCCGACAGGCTTCCGGACGGTGGGGGAGATCGCCTGCTAAACATGCTATAATCACTGCTGCTACGACCGAAACTGGACTCCCTTAAGCTGCCGCTTAAACTGCTCGAGGGACCTCTCAAACCGATCGATGGCATAGGCGGAAGGGGCTCTCTGCGAGGCGGTAACGGAGGTAGAAAATCTCGGCTACGTAAACCCATTTCGCTGCGTGACGGTGGGGCCGCATAGCGCCTCTCGTACAAATCTCTGGATTCTTCATATCGTCGATCGTAGTAGCCATCATAAGCGTCCTAAAGAGAAAGTACGTTAGAATGAAGAGAAATGCTCCTGTAGTACTAGTAGGGCACAAATTCATTATGAGACAGGATGATAGGTGCGATGGATGATAATGCAATTTTAATGTCGAGGGGCAAACCACTCTTTGTAATATGGACTATATTACCTGGACGTATATTAAGACATTATACAGGCTAACAAGATACCTATTGTGACAGGATAAAATCAGCAGTTTGTGATGTGTTGTATTTCTGAAGTATTTAAAACTTGAAAAATGCTGTGTAGTGATTGCGAATACGAATTTGAAAACGATATTGTTTCTTCAATCCGAAGAAGTACACTCAAGTTGTTAGTGAATAACAAATTCCACTATATCCAGTGTGTTCGGAGATTGAGATTGCATCTTCATGTTCCGAGGATCGCTCCTGCTTAGTCTCAAAACTAATCAGCCCACTTTGTTTTTTTTTTCATCAAGATTTCACTGATACATTATATGTTCTTAGTTATTATTAGTTACTTTGTTATGCTGTCTACAGAATGTTTTGTTTTATGTTATTTTGTTTTATAAATTTAATTAGTTTTCAGCATGTTATAAAATCTTTGTCCTGTAAATGGATGTCTTGTCTGTTGGGCAATAATAATAAACAAATAAATCAGTAAGTTGTGAAAAATAGCAAACATATCATAGATATATATCTGCTTGACACTTATAGTAGTGGTAGTTGAAGTCTTCCTTAACTTGTAATTCTAAACAACTGTTTTAATATCTTATATCTGCTAAAATGAAGACAGTTTACTCTTGACTAATTTTTTGAATTTGGCAAAAAAACACCCTGTATATTAATTGATGTGGCTCATTTTTTTAATATTGTAGCATGAGAACATGAAGATCCAATTCTAATAAATTTGTCATATACACCTTACAGGCACTCAATCGACTGTATGTGAACATTTTGAAGCTGTATTTCGAAAGAAACTCGGAATATTTTGTAAATTTTACAGTACACTAATGGCGTAAAATCCTATACAGGGTGTGAAAAATTCGGTACCTTGGTCATTAAATTATAAGGGACAGAGATTTGGTTAAATGGAGACAATGTTACGCATTTTAATAATGAATAATTTCTTTAGAAACATAACAAAAGTCCCTTTTTTAATTGTGGAGACATCCAAAAAGACGAAAAAATCAATTTTCGATATTATTTTTGAGCGGCTTTTATTATTGATTAAATTTAATAACTCTAAATAGATTTTTTTGTTATACAGGGTGTTCCAATTTACCGTAATATTGAAAAATAATTTTTATTCAAATCACTGTAGTTCCGTCATTATTAGTGCTACATAAAAATTGTACCTAATTCAAAAATTATAGGTGTCACTATCATTACTATCAATAATATGGCATACCTTAATACATAGAAGACAATATTTATAATCTTGCCAGTTATGAAATAAATTTGTTTATGTACGACTGCTTGATAATGCTCTGATTACAGTCGCAATTAGTCCATAATGATAAAGTAAAACGGCCGCCTGTCAATGTGACAGTCGTACTTAGGTGTCAATCCAAAGTAAATTCAAGTATTTTAGAAATACTTGACATCTGTCGTCAATGATATATAGATTTTATCGTTTATTGAATTTCATGAAATTTTCATTTTTAAGGGTTGTTGCAGTCATACATAAAGCTTTGTATATATCGCGTCCATAAATAGGCTTTATGGGGACTCGCCTTGTTTATTTGTGCCTCGCTCGCAAGCTCGCTCGGCTAAATAAACGGCTCGCCCATAAAGACCTAGTTTATGTACTTGATAGCTATTTTTAAATAGCAATAATAGAAATTTTCGAAAAGCTAATTTAACCTAATTCATATCTTGTATACTTTCTGAAATCCCCAATACTATTCATAAAAAAACACCCTGTATAGTGTATACAATCGTTACGTAAAATTTAAAAATGGAATAATATATAGGATATGTCATTTAAAATAAGCAAGTGGTATACCCGGACAAACCACCAGCTTAAACGAATTCCTCTTATTGACATTAGTATAGCGTAGAATCTTCAAAATATTCCAGGTTTCAAGATATACATAGTCCGGATAAATTGTGGGACACCCTGTCTACAACAGGGTTCCAAATTACTGTAGAAGTTTGGCAACAGAATGTGGACATTTTTCAACATTGTTGTTTCTATTCCAGGATGTTCTTACCTTATCTACGGTCCAAACAGGCATAGGTATGTATAATGTCAAAATAATGAATACTTACCAAAAATTGTGTAAATGTGGTCCACAATTTTATTAATGTAACAGTGTTATCACCTGAAAATAGCTATAATACGAATGGTTTTTTGTGAAATGGTTTGCCCCTCGACTAATGTTAATGCCCTACCCCAAAACGACCCATCATTCGGTCGCGCAGGAATGGCGGAGGCGGCGGCGGTGGGTAGGGATCACGACCGAACATACGATCGCGGAATCGTTCGGGACCCACACCTTTGGGACATTCCTTCGACCAATGACCTCCACGTCCGCAGCGATAGCATTGCTCGGGATCGCCCATACCGGGCCGTTGTCGTACGCGACTCGTCGATAATTGCACCTTCATCGGTTGCCCGTCGACCATAGTACCGTTCAATTCTTTGATCGCCTCGTTCACATCGCCCGACGTATCTAGATGAACGAACCCGTAGTTCCGTACGATATCACATTCCACAACGGTGCCGAATTTTTTAAACAATTCCCGTACTTGGGGGGCTTTCGTATTTTCTGTTAAGTTGCCGACGAATATCTTAGTCGTAGGCGTTGTCGGTGCTTTACGACTCTTCGCAGCTTCACACTTAATCGCCTGGCCATTGACCATGTATCCGTTCAAATTTTGTATCGAATCGCGTCCCTCCGTCTCGTTCTCCATATGTACGAAACCGTAATTCTTGACGATATCGCATTCCACAACTTTCCCGTACTTTTCGAATAATGGTTTAATATCGTTGATCGCTGTCTTATCGGCGAGATTTCCGATAAATATTTTGAACGTACCCGCACTGCTAAAACCCGGCATGGCTAAGCCTGAAACTCGACACACATGAATACCCGTGTGACTACGACGATATTTACAAAGAGAGATTACATTTAATGAGCAAGAAAAGCTCGACTCGTGTCAAACTTTCCTTAAAACTACGTGAAAAACAGGCAGACTCTCCAAACAAAAAGTAAAAGAAATATGGCCGTCTCAAGGACCGAAAGCGTCATTGTTAAATTCGAGCAAAATCAAGTAAAACGTTACAAGCTACAAAACTAAAACGATAATCCTCGACCGAAAAGACTATTCATACCGTTCACGATAAAAAGGATTCAGTGCGATGAAAGGGAATGTAGGTACTTACCTTTTTCAATCACGAAACTATAAAATACAGATTTATAGACAATTTGACTCTTCCGTAGAACACGTTTTGCGTGTTGGTCGTCAAAAATACACGTTACAAATTCCTACAGCACAATAAAATTCACAAAACTTGAGAAAAACCACACCACACGCCGAGTCGATGAGAATTATAAAAATGGCGTAAAGACAATGAACGGCAGGTAAAGGCGATTGGTTGTCCTTGAAGCGGAAACGAGAAACGCGAGATTTGACCAATCACCACACATACATTACAAATAGCCGCATTCAGTGAGTGTATGAATAATTTGGATCATAATCAGCCTTATTCTGGTGACCACCGGTATGTACGCAATGTTGAAAACATTTCAACAGAGTTTTCAACGTTGCTAACAACGTTGATTGCAAGTTGCAATTTCCGTGACGTATTGTTTTTAGTGTTGATACGTTTTCAACGTTAAATTTTTTGCCAACTGTAAAACAGTGAAAGTAGTTCAAACAGTTCGTAATATTACTAAAATTCGCGGGTAGTAGTCACATCTCTGGTAGTTCTACGTACTTCTAACCTAATAGAAATCAAACCCAAAATTTTTTCGTTTTGTAGTTTATAAGTGTTAATATGAATAGAAAGAAGACTAGCAAGTCTCAGTTTAAAATATATTTATCATATTTAAAGAGGCATGATATATTAATAACAGGAAAGTTGACTCCATCCACAAACACGGAGGGCCTAAAACAAATTTGGAATGAAATGGTCGCCAATCTTAATAGTTGTGGGGATGGTCCTGTGAGGAATATAGAGGGATGGAAAAAGGTAAGTGACAACATATAGTTTAGTAGATACATTATGTTACATTTGATAGGTATTTCGAGAATGGAAATGTATTATTAGAAAAAAAGCGAGAGAAGGAAAAGAGTTAAACGAAATTGAGCACGAACTAATTCGATTAACGGGCGAAATTGCTGTTACCGGATTAGATCATGTTGAATTGGGCATTACTGAGGGCATTAGCAATGAAGGTGAAACTGCAGAAGCTTCTCCAGATGTCGATTTCGACATTGAAAATTTAGAGGTTTGTGGAGTATACACATGTACATATGTTATGGTAATTTGTCACATAGGTAGTGCAAGAGGATGAAGAGCGATTATCTGATGAAAATCTACAGCCCACATTACATAAAGAAAATGCAAATGCTGCTCTGCCGTCTACCTCTCAAAAAAAACCTAAAAGTAAGTTCCACATTTATTTTATTGGTAATTATACTACTCAAATTCTGTTTCAAAAATGTAGAATGTACGGAAAATCCCTTACTGAAAGCCTATGTGAATGCGCAAGATGAAGCAAGAGATGGCATGACAGATATTGCAAATGCTTTAAATAATATAGCAGCATCAATAAACAGATTTTGTGATGTGTATGAAAGAGTAAATCTTGATATGTAAATTTATTATGTACTTACATTTAAGGGTTGTGTAATACATTTTTTTTTGAGGAAATATTAAAAGGACTACCAAAGAACAATATAAAGTTTATTTAACTTATCTTCAAAAAAATAAACATACTTTACAAATATACCTAAAGAAGATTTCCAAGTGATGTGTCTGGAACTGAACTCCATTGCTGGACCAAAAAAGACTATTCATGAATGGCAGCAGGTAAACATTGTGCAAAGTGTTAATTTAATGTGTCTGTATAAAAAATGTGTATACTACCAAATTACAGACATTTTATGAATGGAGTAGTCGAACAAAAAAAAAGCTCGAGATAATTTAAGATACATGATGGAGACTGGAGGAGGACCTGGACTTGACAATTATTTAAATGACATCGAAGAATTACTGATAAGCATACTGAAGTGGGTTACAATCAATGGCATGAATGTAAGTGAACTAGGCGTTTATAAGTCTAAGACTGTGTGTAGCAAAGTAAGGAAAGAGATGCATCAAAAGAAAATGACTATTTCTGTGGCACCAAATATAAGAAAACGTAATTTCCTAATGCAATTTGTTATAAAAGTACCAGTTTTCTTTTAGGACCTAGACTTCTTCAGAAGCGTATTATGCATACTTTTGATCTTAAACAAAAGTTGTATTTGCAATCCATCAAGGAATTAAGAACTGCCATTATAAATTTGTTTACTTCCATTGATAGAGTAAGTAATTTATACATGAATATGCATATTAATGATTAAGTAACAGTAACTATTAATTAAAATACATCCGCACTATTCTAGTTCGTACTTGTTCACCCTGATACCTCTCATGTCCATTTTGTAGCTGTTGCTGATCATGTTCATCTTGTACATATTCATCTTCTGGAACATCTAAAGGTAAAATATGGAATTAACATTTGACTTCATCAGCATTCGGCATTACCATCAATTAAAGCTTGATCTCCATGCAATATACACATATTGTGTAAAACAGCACAACTATTTACTATTTTAGCTGCAACTGGTGGGCTGTAATGCAAAACTCGGTGTTTAAGGAGACACCGAAATCTTGTTTTAAGAACTCCGTTCAACCTTTCGATCACATTTCTTACACTTCTATGTGCAATATTATAAGCACGTTTTGCATCTGTATCAGGAGCTGTTATGGGTGTCATCAGCCATGGTTCGAGTGGATACCCAGAATCGCCTTCAACAAAACTTTGTATAGATTCCCCATACATGTACAGTGATTATAATACCAAGTAAATAGGAGGTATGGCCTGCTTGATAACTATTATATAAATTTTGTCGTATTTGGCTTGTGCCCCAAATAGCTGCATCATGAACTGATCCGGGATAACGAGCATTTAATGCTAATATTTTTTAATTTGCATCACATATCTGTCACAAAATTATTTTGTTTTCATATCAGATTAAAAAGCTATGAATACCTTACAATTTGTACATTAAGGCTGTAGTATCCTTTTCTATTATAAAATAATATTGCAGGATAATCAGGATGATTAATTGGAGGAGCAACTATTGCAATGTGTGTGCAATCAACAGCACCAACAATACCTGGGAACCCATGGGCCATATTCATAAAACTATAATTTGGAATGTGTATGAGCGTTATAGTTGCAAATTAATTAACATACCCTTGCTTAACAAGCGTTACTTCCTCTTGTGTTTGTGGAAAACGTACATAATGGTACAAATTTTCCAAAGCATTAACAACAACTGTTAAACATTTACTAACAGATGACTGGCTCATACTTGTACAAAAATCTTGCCCGACGGCTTTTTGGTAGCTGCCATGGGCAAAAAAATGCAACGCCACCATAATCTGAAAATAAAGAAATTCATTCCTCATTCATAGCATCTAAACTAAATATATAACTTACTTTTAATTTTTTCGGGATAAATAATTCTTCACGTTCTGCATCTTGCAAATGAGGCGAGAGCTCTAAAATGAGATTATGTATACCATCTCTCTCGACAATCGGTACAGTGATCGAAACTGAGTTTCTGGCATAGACATGGGATCACTTTGATCCCGTAAATTTCGTCGTATTAATGCAGCATTATTTCTAGAATGAAAAGAAATTATTAATCAAGTGACAATTCAACTCATGTATAAAAAATCGCATAAGCCGCAGTGTAATTGTCACTTTGACAGCGGCAAAAGTTACCTGCAACTTTTCCAGCGACAAATGCACTAGTGGTTTTTTCACTTAGGCCCGGTTGCATAAAAGTACGGTTGAACCGCCGGTTAGTGAAACTCCGGTTTGGGGTCAACCGTCGGTTGGAATGAAACGCGTTGCATAAACGCTATTTCTCTGTCGGTTGAGGAACCAACGGTTGGTTTTAGATTTCTACGGTTGACTACACTGACGATTCGGTACCAGCCAATCCGCTTTTAGTATATGGAAAGCGCGGCAGCCGTGTTTGTATTGTGCGCATGACAAATGCGTAATGGAGTATTTGACAAGGCGTAAATCTAATAAACGTTGTCCTCTTTCATGTAGTCTCCTTGATATAAATTGAAAGGGACAACTTCTTATCCTCCCCCCTCCAACAAATATGATCGTTTGCTATATGTGATGAAATTCTCCATTTCTGGTTCCGTTGAGATTTTGAAGTATTTGAAATATGTGTTTTTTATCCATGTGTTTATTTAAAACACAGTCGTGGTTCTTTTTAATATTTCAAATACTTCAAAGTGATCGCTTGCATTCAAGAAAGGAATGAAGACGGACCATTAGTAGACCCTGATGTTATACTTCCTAATAACGATGATGAAATTGACGATGTAGTAAATGTACCAGAAGCAGGGAATATCAACAATAACTTTAGACAAACTTTCATAGATTATTTTTCTTCATTACCGTAATGTGGTTTATGATTTTGACTGTTTGACATTATAAATAATAAAGAAACTCACTCTTTACTGAGCATTTTTTATTTTATCTATTTGTAATGATAACAGTTCATTTTGCAATTTCAAGTGTTCGTTTTGAAGCTTTATTCTTTGCAGCTGTTATCCTCCTTTCTCAGTAGTTCCATTTTTAACTTGTTTAATTCAGCTTTTGTGTTACCTATTTCTTCTAACACTTGCGTTGCTGTATTTCCTGTAAAAATACATGTTTGTACAAATACAACACCATTTTTACCTCTAATGAATCACCATATTTCGTTGGTGTCCCTTTTGCTGTTTGTTGTAACAATTTGTGTTTTCTTTTTCTCAACATGCTTGGCTTATAGTTACTCCAATCTAAAATTATTTTGTTATTAATAAAAACTGTTGAATTTTAGAATCGTATGTTTGTAACCAGTTGTTACTGCAATTTCATGTTCATTCACTGCGGAATCGGAAATATCTATTCTTTCTTCACAAGGTTCCAGATGTTGCATTTCGATATTGCAGGCGTCCGGCAAATCTAGGAAAATAACATCGGCGAAATCTTTTTGTTGAGCAACCGATGAAGATGCCTCAGAGGTCTCTATAAGGCCTACCAAAAGCTCATTAGTAATAAGAAAATATGTAAATCACTCTTACAAGCATCACTGTCACCTCTACATGGTGCAACTCCTTCGATAGACAAATTAATGATGGCTTTTATTTTTTCAAAAATTTCTTTTAGAAAATCTCTTATCATAACTTGGGCAGGACCGCCACCAGTACCATACATTTGCTGCCGTTGTTGAGCAAAATACTTCCTGGCCTCTTTTTTTAAATTATCGTACTTCGTACGTAACTGCTCTGCAGTTTTTTGATCCATCACGGCACAATTAAATTCATTTGCAATTTTAGACCAAATTGCATCCTAAACATGGGAAACAGTTAGATAGTGCACATACCAATTACTACATATTCAAAGTTACCTTCTCCCTCCAAGTTATAACGTCAGTCTTCTTGCATTCTATCTTATGCTTATACTTGAAAACTATATCTATAAGCGTCCGTACATCTATATCTGTAAAGGCAATTCTTTTTTTGGACATCTATAAATATCGTTTCTGTACTATTATTTGAAGTTTCATGCTTGAATCTTACCTTAAACGATTTATATAACTTCACTAACAAACATAAACTGACGGTTGAATTCGCTAATCCGTACTTCGAGTGCCGTTTTGTAAAATAAAGCAGTGTCTTGAAATATGTTTAACTGGATAATGGCATGACATTTTTTCGAGGGGATAAAGTATCCCCTATTATACCACCATTTGTAGGTATGTAAGTATGGATAATCAGATAGTCAATAAGTGATGATATAAAAATCAAAATTTTTCTAGGCCTACTTATATAAAATTTTGGAGGGAGTTGTAATGCCCAAAGCCCCCTCTCATGAGTGCATCCCTGATTTTTTAAACATCTGATGTAATTATTTTCATTGTTTTGTTGCCTCGAATAGATTTTGTTTTGTTTTTTTTTAATTCATCACAGCCTACTTGATTAAAATATAAAAACCGTTGATATAACTGGTATCTTATTTTCAATCTTATGTTATGATAGCTCGTTGAAAAGAGAATGAAAAAATCTATCAAGTAATCTAAAAATCCCATATAGCGCCCATTTAACTTTAGGAAGTTGGTAAATGTTCCTCAAAAGTGGCCATCTTGAATTTTTTTTTGACACCAATTCTAAATTAAGCGTATCAAAGACAGTCACTTTTATATAAAACTTTTTTTTATATCTCTTATACTTTCGATGATATAAGACATTCAAGGAAATGACCAATTTTACTTTTTTTGAATTTACGTCGAACCTATGCGACATTTTGAATTTCCATAAGGAAATTTTAAATAAGCATCCAAAACTGCAAAACATTGCCCATTTAACCAATTCTTTATCTTTAATAATAACAAAGTTACCCATGCAATCCCACGCGATCTGGGACACACTGTATATCAGCTCCTTCTACTACCAATCTAACAAGATCTTCTGGAACAAACGTGTAAAGTACTTAACAATGTAGCAAACGTGAGTGAAACACTATTTTTTATTTTGAGAAAACCAAGCATATTAAGTGTAGTATGACGTAATATGCCTTTATTTTAGTCGCAATCATTTTTCTAATGTTTGGTGAAATGTAAGCTGGGTTCATAATTTTTACGTTTTGTAATACCATTGACTATAGGGGGTATTAGTCAATGGTAACACATATAATAAGTGCATGAATGTCGAACAGAAATATGTACTAGGTATGTTGATTATTTGAAAAATTGTATTTATCGTGTATTGAGTCAATTGTTTCCACACCATTCTAATTTATGGCACTTGTATCTATGGAAAAATATTCGGGATTAAATAATGAAAAATCTCTATAACAAAACTTCAGGTGCAGTGGGTTCCGAAAAAAAAGTAAGAAACATTGTGAGCTAAGAAGGATGTGTTAGGTTTAAACAGGATACGATGGGTATAGAGAGTTGGTTGCAGAAAAATTTGTTCGGAGTTGATCATGCATGCATGATTGATAGGTAGCTACACACCTTCATCAATGTCTTCCACAATCTTTTCTCTAAAGACAAATATATGGGTGAATTTTTTCCACTTTCACTATGAGGATCTCGTAAACCATGAGAGACAGTCCCCTTATCCAGAATTTATGTTGATTAATTATCCTATTCATAATTTCTTGTACCTCTACAAATAGCAAAGTTACAGAAAAAAAAAACCGAAAAACGTCCTTTTCGAAAATGCGCTGACGTTCATTTATTTTCAAAGATATCAACAAATAATTTTAACAAATCCATAGTGATATTTTCTCAGTAATAGATACATGCTCCAAGTAATTATATCTTTTTGTACGCCCTTGGAGTTACTTGAAAGTGAAAAGTGGGGATATCAATGAATATACTTCAATTTAAAATTGATTGCTACAGGTGAAGTGCAAATCAGATTTGTTTTGGTCGTAAATAACGCACTTTTCCTTTTTACGAAGTCTAGTTTTTTGCTTAAAATATTCACATTTTTCAATCCTATCGTTGATGTAGTTTCGTTGCCATCAGACATATAGATTTATTTTCCGATGCAGCTATATATGTAAAAATGTACAATTCACTTCTGAACGGTAAGTAAATTACAGTAGAGTTTTTTGTTAGCAAACTCAAAAACACCGCATGCTATCTTGAAAACAAACCAGGTAATTGAAGTTGTACAAATCAATCATGGCAGGTAAGCCGATATAGGTACCTACCTACAAGTTGAGAATTTCGTTTTCGACTTTATATGATTTTAGTTTAAGAAATAGTCATAGATCTGCAACCCCGCCCACTCAACCAATGTATTGAATTTTCTTTGTCTAGAAAAAAATGTTCCTTTTGATTGACTGAAAAGGGCGACTAATTAGTTAAAATTCTCTCATCATAAAATAAAGAATAAAATATGTACATGTAACTAGCGTCGTTACCAAGGACGTTAAAAATACCCGTCCTTGGTCGTTACCTATACCTTTTCCGACATATTATTAAATGAATTCGTGTTTCTAGGGCGAAACTTCAAAGGGGCTTCACAAGCCGATAGTTCATAAGTTAATTTGTAGAGGGAATAAACAAAATCAATCAAAGAAGTTTTTTTTAATACAAAACGACAGAGATATAAAAAAGAAATAATAAAGTAGGTAGTGATGCTAAAATAAACAAAATTGTTTCAATTCTGAATGGTATGATATGAGTAATAATGAAATAAACAAAAAATTCTTGAAAAATATCTGCTTACATTTATTCAGCATTAAATTAAATTTAATAGGAAGATGAATGCGAGGTGGATGAAACCTTAACGACTCAACGTCTCCGGCTCTTGCAGCAACTTTGCTAGCAAAGTCCCCAATTCTTTATTATCGTTACATATTGCAGTTTGCAGTAATGTTCGTCCTTCACTGTTACGAACATTTGTTATGGTTAAGAATTTGTTAAGGCTGTTGCTTCTAATCGTTTTTAATTCTCTAACAACTTCGAAGCTTCCACTTTTTGCTTTTTCAAATAAGTTACCGATTAACTCCAATAGATTGATAATGTCAGTATGGTTGCCATCTTTTGCACAGTCCATTGGCATGTTTCTACCAGTAGTACTAACAACATCAAACATTGCACCGTGTTTTAGTAAAGAATACACAATTTCAATGTGATTAAACTTTGCAGCATAATGTAGTGGAAAAACATTGTTATTGTTTGTGAAGTTTACATTTGCACCATTTCTGAGCAGGACATCAACAACTTTAGTGTAACCTTTCCATGATGCGTAAATTAATGGGGTTTTGAAATGAATACTTCTACTGTTAACTAATGCTCCCTGTTTGATGCACTCTTCAACTTGTAAGTGATCGTTTTCTTTTGTCGATAGAAAAAGCTTGTCAATTAGTTTGAATACATGCACCACCTCTGAGTTACCACATTTTTCTGCAACGTGCATTGGCAATGTGTATTGGTCTATGTTAATTTTTGCATCATAATATGCTCCGTTCATAAGGAGAGATTTGAGTATACCTAGATCACCAAATTGTGCTCCTAAATGTAATGGTGTGATACTCATGTACATTAAGGCATTAACGTCTGCCCCATTTCCAATAAGGGTTGTAACTACCTCAGGATGAATGCGTTGTACTGCTAAATGTAGGGGTGTAAGTTTACCTTCATTCTCTGTGCTATTTAGATTGGCACCATGTTTCACTAGGACGTTGACAATTGGGGCGTAACCTTTTCCTGCTGCATAATGCAAAGGAGTCCAATTTTTTTCACCTAACGCATTAACATCTGCTCCTCTTTGCAAAAGCAATTCGACTACCTCCAAGTGATTGTAATCTACTCCAAAGAGCAAGGGTGTGGAATTTGCTTTCGTTCTTACATTTATGTCTATGTCTTTATCAAGAAGAGATTGCACAACATCCAAACTACCATAATATGCCGCGTAATGAAGAACAGTCCAACTCTTGTTATCTACAACATTTAAATCTGCTCCATTTTTTATTAGAAAGTTCACGATCTCCAAGTCATGCTTTGTTGCTAAATGTAAAGCTGTCCTACCATCATCTATGATTGCATTTACATTTGCCCCTTTTGCAATTAAGTTCTCCACAATTTTTGCGGACAAACCATTGTGTGCTGCGTGATGTAATGCAGTCCAATTTTGATTGTCGAGAACGTGAATGTTTGCTCCATTATTAATTAAAAAGTCACTAATTTCTAAATGTTTTTGTTGAATGGACTGATGTAAAGCCGTGAAACCTTTGTTCTGTTTAGCATTAACATTAGCACCATTTTTTATTAACAGTTGAACGATTTCCGCAGAACCATTCTGTGCTGCCATATGTAAAGCAGTAAAATCGCTGGACTCTTTAACGTTAACGTCAATACCGTTCACAAGAAGTAGAAGTTTAACTATCTCGAGATGATTCTGTTTGGCTGCAGCAAGCAAAGGTGTCACATTGTCATGATTCTGTACGTTAACATTAGAATTTGCTTTAAGCAACAATTTTACAGACTCAACAAACCCATCTTGAGATGCCAACAGTAAAGGTGTAAGGCAATCCTTCGTTTTTGCATTAGGATTCCCTCCAGCTTCAATTAGAACTTTAACTATATCGGAATTACCGGTCAGTGCCCCAAAATGTAATGGAGTCATGTTTGAATCTGGTCCACGAGTTGAATGCAAAACTGTACATCCAACATTAATATTGGATCCATGCGAGATAAGAATTTTAACCATTTCAAGTTTTCCATTTTCTACTGCAAAATGCAAGGGTGTTTTTTGATCGCAATTTACAGCATTAACTTCTAATCCTTTTCCAATGAGAACATTTACTACATCCCGATGATCATTTTCTGCCGCAAAATGCAGAGGTGTATTCATTATATTTGTTCTTTCGTTGTAATCTGCGCCATGAGTAATTAAGGTGTTAACAATATCTGCGTGCCCCTCTTGGCATGCAACAATTAAAGGTGTCAACCCAAATATAACTTTATGGTTTACGTCTGCACCCTGTGCAATTAGAAAATTAACCATTTGCAACTGATTTCCGCGAATTGCAAAATACAATGGTGTTAAAAAATCGTACTTAATCTCAGCATTGATAGCTAAACCTCGGGCCAACAATTTGCGAGCTAAAGGTACATCACCACTTCTTGCTGCGTGGTGCAACGATGTCATACTCTCGCGTTTCTCTGCCTCACGACGGATATTGCTCAGTCTAGCAGAAAACTGCCATTGACGGAATCTGTGGTCCATTTTGTTGGTATAGTTGCCTAAGGTATAGATTCCACATTAAGTATTATAATACATAAGTTTTAAGAAGAGATACTCACTATATAAATCAACTAAAAAAATGCTAGGTAGCTATATTTGCCTTCCAACGTCCTGTTTCCAAGTCACAAAACACGTCTTCTGTTTCAAATCACAGACCGACCATCAACGTTTTGCACGAGGCACAAATCTGTGGCACAAATCACACTTGCAGATGTGTTCCACACTGACTCCCTGTACTGCGCAAACGCAAGCGCGCTAAAATTTGAATTTGCTTTAACGTGCCACCGTTTGTTTTGTTTATAATACCAGTTCCTGCTGACTTCCATATTACAAACCAAATGTCGCTGTATTTTCGGAAAGAATATGTTCTTCTTCTCGAGTTAAAGCCTTCGGTCACTACTGTGAATTCCAGTTAAATACATTATAGCGCCAACTTGAAAGCAAACCTCTACTTTAGCTATCAGTCATGATCCTTGTAGTCTGTTTTTTTGTGATTCGTTCAGCACCGGACTCTCTCTTTACCATAGGTCAATGTTGGTCTGTAACGTTATTGCTGTAAGTAAATGTCATTAACTCTTTCTAATTAACTATTACAGTACTTACCGAAGCAGTTTCCTAATATCGCCTTTGGCATATTCTATGACCGCATGCACTCCAAATGTAGATAACAACAAAATTCATCTTGATAACATGGCATTTTCATATACCTACTACATATAATAGGTAAGCTAAATTATCTTCAATTATAACGTTTGGCGGTTATGTGTATATTTATTTACCCCTTACACTTGACAGCTGTATACAAATTCAAATTTTAGCGCGCTTGCGTTTGCGCAGTACAGGGAGTCAGTGTGGAACACATCTGCAAGTGGAGTAGAAAAGATGGACTGACGAAGATGAAACAGTATAGCAGCAAACAACAAAATGTTAACACCAGAACTACCTATAGGTACTTGAGATTGCAAATGAACGTAAAACAACCAGACAATTCTATCGAACGACGCGTTTTAGCAAATAAAACCACAGCTTATAAAAACTATGAAGTACCTATATGAAGGTAGAAAAAGAGGTCCTCAGATAAAAAAAGGAATTGGGACTTTTCCTTCGCTAGTATGTAAAGTTGCCTAATTTCTATTGCAAAATAAAATAGGTTGTATGTAAGAAAATAAATAATTTGTGGCATTGCCATTATATTACATTACCATCTTTGATTACAGGATTACCATATAGGTATGCATATTTTAGATATTATACCTATAGTTGGGAAAATAATAATAACGTGAATAATTGCTAAATTATATATAGGTACATATCTATTATCTTAAAAACTTACCACCCAACATACCAAAACCAATTACAATTTATATATAGCGTACCTAAATCTAGATGAATCGGCGTTTTTCTAATTCTAGTTGATCGCCTTAACGTTCTGTCCTTATTTTCATTGTCCCCGTTCTCATTATTCTCTTTTTTTCACAAATAATATAGGTTTGATATACCGGGTGGTGCACGGTAAGTAGGAACATAGAGATTTAACATGGGAAATTAGTTTTATGCAATTTCCTGCCTGTAGAGTTAAAAGTTGTTCAGAATTGAAAGGTGCATACAAAACTGTTTTTACATGTTTTATTATAAGCTTTTGGTATACCCGCAAATTTAACAATAATTTCAACATTTCTGTTATTAGTAGCAAAGCAATAGCCATTACTTGTTGTATTATGCATTGCTACTACTAATAATAGAAATGTTGAAATTAATTTTTTAATTTGTGGGTATAGCAAAAACTTAATAAAACATGTAAAAAACAGTTTTGTATGCACCTTTTAATTCTGAACAACTTTAAACTCTACAGCATAAAACTAATTTCCCATGTTAAATCCCTTTGTTCCTACTTACCGTGCACCACCCGGTATAATGACACCAATCAAAAAAAGATTTTTCCTCGTCTAATGATATACGAATTAGTTTATTTTCAGGTGTATTTCTCACAATTTTATTAAAAATTCGGCAATAAATCCACTTACCAAAATCATCTTAAGCCATGACTAGTAAGACAAAAAGCAGATTGAAACGTCGAAATCAATATCAGTTTATGACAACTGGCATTTTTTTTTTGTAAAATGCGGTTCACTGAGGAAAAAGTATTTATAATAAAGAACGTTTACAGCGAAAATATTTACTCTAGTACGCGATATTTGTTTTCCGTGCATTTTAATGAGCGTCCTCTTCCTTCTGTGTGAAAACCTATTTCAATTTTTTAGAAAATTTCCATGGCTTAACATGATTTTTGATAAAATAATGAGAAATACACCTGAAAATAAACTAATTCGTATATCTAGATGAGAAAAACAATCTTCTTTTGATTTGTTTAAATGTGTCATTATAAACCCTCTAAGTTAACATGGGGAGCAACGATCTGCAAAAAACGTTTTTCCCATGTTAATTGCCTATGTTCGGTTTTAAAATATTCACCCGGTATATAATAGTAGGGGGAGCCCGATAGCGGATTTTGGGATTTATTTGAGCGCGTCAGATTAAAGTAAGGTGGGTTAACTACATGTTGAAAAGTGTGCATTTCAATAATCAGACGATTTGAGCGTGACGCAAGGAGGTGAGAAGGGGACACCACACAATTACCATAAAAATTCGGCAATTGCTGGCAAATGTATTCAGCTCATACGCACAATTTTGGGTAGTTTATAGAGTTTATAAGTTATTATGATTTCTATGCAAAAAAATTTAGTGCACAACACGTGCTGAAAGTGTCTTTTTCATGAATTTACTTGATTAACTCGGGCTTCGCCCTCATTAATCAAACTCCATAATACTTAGCTAAAATCTCAAAAAAGAATTCGTTCTAAAATCGCAGCAATAAATACCCAAAATCAAAGAAATATGAGCTTACGATTAGGGTCGGTAGATTTATTAGATACATTTTATACAGGATGTTTCTAAATATGATGGAAATACGGAAGAGGCTATTTCTTGGCTTATATTAAACGTTCATATAAACGTATTAGGTCCACAACCGCTTCGTTACCGACGACAGAGTGTTTTTCAAAATGTTGTGTCTCCTTTGGTTTTTGAGACATTTCGTTCAAATTTGAAATATAGGTTACGCTGAAGGCCTTACATAATTGGTCATGTCAATGCTAATGCAAATCTACATGGGGTTGTGTTTTCAGAGGTCATGTTCCATTTTTGTACCCCTGAACATTTCATCGATACCATAATTATTACTACCCGGTACAAGTGCAAGTACGACTTCACATCAATTTCACAAAAAGTGTTCAAAGTGGAACTTCTATTAATTAATGAAGCTACGAAAGTGATTAATCAAAAAGATTCCTTTAAAATAGTCCCTCAAATATATATGTACCTACTAGTAGGCTTAAAAAACAGCGGAACATATAAAAAATTATAGGTACCTACCCGCAATATCAAAGTATAATCCACTATTAGACAAGATGGTAAAAATTACGTGTTTAATTTAAAGGAATTTCCCCTTTATTTGTTGAATAAAGGATGCATTAATTTAATCATCTAGTTAGCAGAGGTACAAAGGCGACCTTCAATTTCGCCGCAAGGTATGAGGTGCAATCTAAGCTGCCTAACTTCGATTTAGATCACTGAAAAATTCATGACGTCACACAATTTTTTTTCCAATTTGGCACTATAAAAGATGAAAAAAAAACTATCCGTACGAATAATGCGCTTTATTAGCAGATTATAAATCACAAAAAACCATGTAGATCGGCCAAATAGAGCTCCAGTATCCTTTATATTCGTTTTATCAACGGCTCTAATTATATCCAAAATGATCATAAATATCAAAAATCAAAATCCGTAGGAATAATCTACTATATTTCCTACAATATCTAACATCGACCTAATTTTCAAAGCAACTGCACAACCGTAATCTTTATAAAATATTTTGTTCTTTTACACGTCATTTCAGATTCAGTTCATAGGCGCCTTAAGGACAACTCGATCAATTTCCTAGCGATGAAGTGGCCGGAGATGAAATGCAGGCGATGAAATGTTCCATTATGAGTTGACGTGTCAGTTCCCTACCTGTACATTAATCCAACAACGGTACGGCGGTCACTGACAAGATACCGGAGCACAGGATGTATAGATTAAGAATGGATCAGAAAGAACAATCCTCCCGAGGTAGAGCATATAAATGAGTTTCCTGCTGTACATCGGGGGTCAGTTGTTGAGAACGCGATACGCTACTCAGCACGACTGATTGCATCACTCAAAGGCGATGGGCGATGAGGTGGTCACATCTCGACGCCTTATTAAAGTTATTATGATTTCTCCCTACAATTTGTTATATGTAGACCCTCCCACTAAGGCCCGATTCTACATAATTACATACAGGGTGACAATTTGAAAACTTACCACCCCCCATATCTTAGTAAATAAACGAGATATTAAAAAAAATCAAAATCCGTTTCGGTAATTCAGAGGGGGAATCACAATGACATAGTTGGCGACGCACCCCCTCCAACCTCCTGCGCCCCAGCCACCCCAACTTTTAAATATTAAATAGTAACCCCCCATGTGTGATACGTCGTTGGAAAGCTCTGAAAAAATGTTTTCCAACCATACCAAATAGCATTACATTTAGGTTAGTAATTATCGTGCAAATAAAAAAAATCAACTAATATGATACATTTTCTAAAGTTGACTTTTATTTCAATAAATGTTCAAAATGTTTTCCGTTATTGGTAAGACAGTATTACCTGTGGTATTACTATGCGATCAAAAATGAGTTGCTGTCCAGTCGCCCTTTGAAATTTTTGTTTACATGGAAAATCGTATTTAACTTGAACTTGAACTCGACAGCAACTCATTTTTGATCGCCAGTTATAATCTATTCTCAAACTCTTGGCGAACCTTTTCAAATGTTGGTTTTGTAAATAAATAAATAAATATAAATAAATGTTTAATTTTGTTTTTAGGTACCTAAATGTTTTTTTTTCCTACAGCAGACTTTATAAAATTAAATTAAAAATTAACAAAAACCTAGTACTCGCTGAAACACAATGTTACAACTTACCCCGACTCTGTTATATATCGGGGTAAATTGTAACAAACACATAGTCTCTTAATTTGTGACATATCAATAAAACTACCAAGTACTATACTTTGGTGAAATTGGAAACATTTAAGTATCAAATACAATTTCTTTAAAAATAACCAAACCCCGAAAAAAAGCAAAAGCTTAAAAGAAATAAAATTTCTGCAACTGATTAGCATAATTACTCTAAATAATGTTTTCACGTTTATCGTTATTTTTAATTGGAGTCACCGATGTGGTACATGCTTTTATGTATACTATTGACATGGCAAAAAAATTAAAAAGATGCAGGTCGCAGTAGACGATTTTGGTAAAAGGTGACTTCAAAGAAATGGAAAGCCTAAAAGTTCGTAAACATAATAAGTATAATATCATTTAATTTCTACGTAGGGTCATCAAATATGGTGCATATAAGTACTCATTGAATGGATGACACAGACATGTTAATAGAATGCAGTGGCGGCTCGTGAGCTGCGTAGAAGGTAGTGCCAATTTGTGTCCCCCACCCCATTATTTTAATAGTTACAAATTTTTGTTTTCATATTATTCCAGTTATTTAGATTTTGAGTATAATTCGAATATTTACAATGCAAGTGACGGCAACAAATCTAGCCCCTTTCATTTCTTTGGAGACTTGTTTCATACTTCAAGCATGCATTCCAGTAATTCATTTTCTGTTGTTTTTGATAATAAAACGTATGGAAAGTGTTACTTTTTTCACGATTTGTACTATCCATTTCCATGGCGTTTAGTCCGATCTATAAATAATAGCAACATTTTATTTGCAGTTTTATTAATGAGGCCGAAGTATCATTTTTAACAATAGTTGTACAAATCTTTATCTAAACAAGTACTGAAATTTATTAATTCTCTGAATACCTACTCCTTTATTTTCGGATTTATCGCTATTGTCGTGTCCTCTTAAAGAAGATTCAGACAGATTTCGTTTTTTAACAATATTTAAGTCCGGTAACGGCCTGCTTAATTGCTTTATTTAAAGTCTATCTTCCAGAGAATGCATGAAAAAGGGTTTATTTAAATGATTTTTTAATTTGTGTATTTTACGTAAAATTAATCCAGGAAGTGTAATCTTACACAGAAGTAAAAAAAATGTTTGACTTATCACGACTGAAACAAGGAAAACGGCGCAAAGCATAGTAATACACGTATACATTATTCAATAATTGTGCTTATGAGCCAAACTTCTGATGGCTCAAGTTGTACATAAAAAACGCTACTTCGGTTTCGCTCCTCCCTCTACTCCCCGCGGAAGTCCACACTTTTAGGAAAATAAGAGCCAGTTTCAGTTTGGCACGGATCGACCGTATGCGAAGTCCACGGATAAGCACCAATGAATTCTTCTTGGTACCTAATTTATCAAATAATTTACTTCTTTGTTTTAACTTTTAAAACACAATTATTTACTCTAGTGAGCACAAATAATAATAGTTAATTATATTTTAAGAATTGATAATTAGCAGGTTCCTTGAGGTAGTGCCATGGCTCCTTGGCTCTTTATAGAGAGCCGCCCCTGATAGAATGTTTCAAATCTATTTACTGTGTGTAAAGGTATCAACTATGTAGAAACACATATTGACAATTGCCCTCAGAAAATTTCAACCAATCATATTAATGCATATTACAGAAATCACCTAGCAACAGACAAATATCCTCGAGTATTCATGCACTTGTGGTATTGCTTATGTGTAAATACCTAAAATGAAACTAATTCCAAATTGTATTAACGAAAATTACAATTTGTAACTGAACCCATGCTTATTTTCGGTTTCATGATGCTTTTTGAAAAACCATGTCTTTGAAAGGATTGAAATAAACATTATATTCTTCTTATCTTGCAAAATTTTTGTCAGGCAATAGTCATCCCGTATATCCCTCGTGCACGCCAAATACCAGATCTGAGTATTTCGCTCGTGCACTCACGAATATTCAGGTATTTGGCTTGCACTTGGGATATAATACTTGAATATTCAATAAAAGTCACTTAGGAAAGGTGGGGGGCTTTACATAGTTCATAAGTTTGTAGACAGAATAAACAGTGTATCAATCAATAAGAACTTTTTTAATACAAAAATACGTAGATATTAAAAACAATATAAAAGTAAATAGTAATGCTAAAATAAACAGAAAAGTATCATTTTAGGGTAATAATGAAATAAACATAAAATTCCTGAAAGATATTTGTTTACATTTGCTTAGCATTAATGAATATGAGGTAGATAAAACCTTAACAATCCAATGTCTCCGGCTCTTGCAGCATTTTTGTTAGCAAAGTTCCCAAATCTTTATTATCGTTACACATTGCAGTTTGCAGTAATGTTTGTCCTTCACTGTTACGAACGTTTGTTATGGTCAAGAATTTGTTAGGGCTGTTGCTTCTAATTGTTTCTAATTCTCTAGCAACTTCGAAGCTTCCACTTTTTGCTTTTTCAAATAAATTTGCAATTTGCTCCAATAGATTGGCAATGTCAATATTGTTGGCATCTTTTGCACAGTCCATTGGCATGTTTCTACCAGTACTACTAACGACATCAAACATTGCACCGTGTTTTAGTAAAGAATACACAATTTCAATGTGATTAAACTTTGCAGCATAATGTAGCGGAAAAACATTGTTATTGTTTGTGAAGTTTACATTTGCACCATTTCTGAGCAGGACATCAACAACTTTAGTGTAACCTTTCCATGATGCGTAAATTAATGGGGTTTTGAAATGAATACTTCTACTGTTAACTAATGCTCCCTGTTTGAGGCACTCTTCAACTTGTAAGTGATCGTTTTCTTTTGTGGATTTAAATAGCTTTTCAATTAGCCTGAATATATGGACCACCTTTAAGTTACAACATTTTTCTGCAAAGTGTATTGGCAACGTGCATAGGTCTATGTTAACTTTTGCATCATAATATGCTCCGTTCATAAGAAGAGATTTGATAATATCTAGATTACCAAATTTTGCTGCTAAATGTAATGGTGTGAGACTCATACACATTACGACATTAACGTCTGCCCCATTTAGAATAAGGGTTGTAACTACCTCAGGATGAATGTGTTCCACTGCCAAGTGTAGGGGTGTAGCTTTACCTTCATTCTCTGTACTATTTAAATTGGCACCATGTTTCACTAGGACGTTGACAATTGGGTTGTAACCTTTTCCTGCTGCGAAATGCAAAGGAGTCCAATTTTTTTCACCTAACGCATTAACATCTGCTCCCCTTTGCAAAAGCAATTTGACCACCTCCAAGTGGTTGAACTCTACTCCGAAGTGTAAGGGTGTGGCATTTTTATTCGTTCTTACATTTATCTCTGTGTCTTTATCAAGAAAAGATTGCACAACATCCAAACTACCATAATATGCCGCATAATGAAGAGCAGTCCAACTCTTGTTATCTACAGCATCTAGATCGGCTCCATTTTTTATTAGGATATTAACTATCTCCAAGTCATGCTTTGTTGCCAAATGTAAAGCTGTCCTACTATCATCTATCTTTGCATTTACATTTGCCCCTTTTGCAATTAAGTACTCTAAAATTTTTGTGGAAAAACCGTTGTGCGCTGCATTATGTAATGGAGTCCAATTTTGATCATCGAGAACGTGAATGTTTGCTCCATTATTAATTAAAAAGTCACTAATTTCTAAATGTTTTTGCTGAATTGCCTGATGTAAAGCCGTAAAACCTTCGTTTTGCTTAGCGTTAATGTTAGCGCCATTTTTTACTAACAGTTGAACGATTTCGGCAAAACCATTCTGTGCTGCCATATGTAAAGCAGTAAAATCACTGGATTCTTTAGCATTAACGTCGATACCGTTCACAAGAAGTAGAACTTTTACTATCTCAAGATGATTTCGGTCCGTTGCCGCAAGCAAAGGTGTAGCATTGTCATTATCCTTTACGTTAACATTGGAATTTGCTTTAAGCAACATTTTTACCGACTCAACAAATCCACCTTGAGATGCTAACAGTAAAGGTGTAACGCCATCTTTTGTTTTTGCATTAGGGTTCCCTCCAGCTTCAATTAGAACTTTAACTATATCAGAATTACCAGTCTGTGCCCCAAAATGTAATGGAGTCATGTTTGAATCTAGTGAATGAGTTGAATCCGAAACTGCACATCCAGCATTAATATTGGATCCGTGCGAAATAAGAATTTTAACCATTTCGAGATTCCCTTTTTCTACCGCAGAATGCAAAGGTGTCTCTTGATGGCAATTTACAGTGTTAACTTCACATCCTTTCCCAATGAGAACATTTACTATGTCCAGGTGATCATTTTCTGCTGCTAAGTGTAGAGGTGTATTCATTATATTCGTTCTTTCATTGTAATCTGCACCATGCGCAATTAATGCATTGACAATATCTGTGTAACCTTCTTGGCATGCAACTATTAAAGGTGTAAACCCTAATACGACTTTATGATTTACGTCAGCACCGTGTGCAATTAGAAAATTAACCATTTCTAAGTGATTTCCATGAATTGCAAAATACAATGGTGTTAAAAAATCGTATTTAATCTCAGCATCGATAGCTAAACCTTGGGCCAACAATGTGCGAGCTAAAGGTACATCACCATTTCTTGCTGCGTGGTGCAACGATGTCATACTCTCGCGTTTCTCTGTGTCACGACAGATATTGTCCAATTCGTCGGAAAACTGCGATTGCTGGAAACCACTGTCAGCTGTATTGCCCATTTTGTTGGTATAGTTACCTACCCGAATTAAAATTACTACAAGTTTTAAGAAAAGATAATACTTACTTAACACTGTATGTAGATCTACTAAAAAAACGCTACGTGATATGAGATCGATAAAAACAGATATTTCATTACACTCTCAGTTGCAACTTGCTATCTACAAAATTTGCTTTCACGTCGTTTCCAAATCACAAGACACGCTTTGTATTTCAAATTCAACAAACCACGTGGAGGAGAGAGGATGAGACTACAAACTGAGGAAGATGAAACAGTATAACAGAAAACAACAAAATGTTAACACAAAAATTACCTATAGGTACTTGAAGTTGTAAATAGACGTACAAGAAGAGAATTCTATCGAACGACTCGTTTAGCGAATAAAACTATTATGCAGGTAGAAAAACCGGCCTCAGGTAAAAAGGGGCCGTTGAGAGCACGTGGAGGGAAACAATAACAATCTTTTCCTTAGCTCGTATGTAAAGTTGCCTAATTTCTATTGCAAAATAAAATAGGTTGAAAGAAAAGAAAGAATTTATTGCATTGCTTTGAGTAAAATTCGGTATTCAATGATTATAACGGGCGATCAAAAACGAGTTGCCTTTTGAAATTCCAGTTAAGTAGGTACGATTTACCTTGTAAACAAAAATTCCAACTCGACAGCAACTCATTTTTGATCGCATAGTACTTATGTATTACCATCTTTGAGTAAAAGATAACCATATACCTACTTATCCTAATTGACAACTCTTTATTTCACCTCTAATGGTGGTCTAGTCTAATGACCATGAAGTATAGCTGTATAGGTAATTAATAAGATTATTATAAATCCCCATTTTCCCTACAATTTTTACGCAAGTAGGTATAGGTATTTTAGAGTTAATTAATACCTATACCTAGTTGGGAAAATAATAATAACGTGAGCAATTGCCAAATTATACATAGTAAGATAGGTACATATCTCATCTCTTAGAAATTTACAATACAACATAATTAACATGGGAAAAACGTTTTTTGCAGATCGTTTAGAGGGTTCATTAATGACACCAATCAAAAGATGATTTTTTTAAAATAAGTAAGTAATAATTAATTAGTAACAGAGCTGGGCAGAGCTATAGGGCTTTGTGCTTGTAAAAGGGCTTCAAAGAACTTTTCAAGCCCTGACCTTTAAGCACTTTCTTGTGTTTGTAATTAGGACTTGGTAATTGAATTACCTACTTTCCAAAGTGCTTGGGGCTGTGAACTTCAAGGAAATGTGCTTCAAGTCCTTTTCAAAAGTGACTTTTCACCTCGTTATATGTTAATCAATGCTTTTCATATATCCTTAAGAACATGTGTACCAATTTTCAAAGCGATCGGACATTTCTAAACAAAGTTATCCTGCACACAGACAAACAGCAATGCCAAAATTATAAACGATCTCAAGTGAAGAGTAAATTACCGATCTTCCTAATTTTTTTTTATGATCAGAAATAAATGAATTTAAGACCAAAAAGAATTCAAAAAATTGAAATATTAAAATGCAGTTTGAATAAATTTAGCGGTGGAGAATTGATTTATGTAACGTACTGGAGAGTTTGGAGCGTTAAAAAATAAGGAGTACTTACGGCGCTTATTGAGCAGAACGATGGTCGAGTAAGGTTTGTTTCTTATATTGTAAATTTAGGTTTTCACCAAATTGAATTTCGGCACGACACACGACAGTAGAAAATTATATCTTCGCAAACAGCAAGATTCAGACTTGTTTCTCTGGTTCTCTTCACAACACCCCTTTCCTCTTTCCACGAACATTTTGGCGTGCGCACTAAGTACAAGGACAGACAACACGGCAGGGAAAATCAAAATTATGACGAGTAATAACAATACAAGGAAATTTTTAAATTAAGGAAAACGTACGTTATTTATGTATGCAACATCAAGGATCGTTAATAAGGACTCAGGACTTGAGCAAAAGTGCTTCAAGAGCCCTTTTCCTAAAAGTGCTTTGTGCTTGGGAAAGTGTTCAAGTCCTTTCAGGGCTTCAAGCCCTCAAATTGTGTACAAATTTTGTCCTAAAGTGCTTGAAGTTCAAAGCCCTTTTAGAAGTAATTTGTCTTTCTGATGACCGGTAGGAATTTATCCAAGCACATTGACTAAGGGCTTTGTGCTTAGAGCTTCAAGCCCTTTCAGTAAGGGCTTTGCCCAGCTTTGATTAGTAATTGGATTTATTGTCGAATTTTTGATAAAATAATGAGAAATACAACAGAAAATGAACTAATTCGCATATCATTAGATGAGAAAAAAATCTTCTTTCAAATTGTGTCATTATAAACCCTAGGGAGTGGCGATCTGCAAAAAAACCTTTTCCCATGTTAATTCCCTATGATCGGTTTTAGAACCTGGTATATATAAATCACGAACTGGTGTTTTTCTAATTCTAGTTTCAGATTTCTGTCTTTATTCTTAGTGTTCCCCTTCCCATTATAATTATATTTAATCTTGAATAAACAATGATATAATTGAAAATAACAAAATCGGCAAATTTTGGTTTTTCTGGTATTTCTTAGGTCGTAATCGAAATTTTCTGTCTTTTTAAAGCATGATAATAACTATAATTGCGCGCCTTTTCTCTAATTTGACTATTGTCGTATCTTCTATGGTTTCCAAGTGATAGACCAGGGGCGGCTCTCTATAAAGAGCCAAGGAGCCATGGCACCACCTCAAGAAATCAGTTAATTATCAATTCTTAAAATATAATTAACAATTAATAATTGTGTTCACTAGAGCATATTGTGTTTTAAAACTTAAAACAAAAAAAAAATGATTTGATAAATTAGGTACCAAGAATTCATTGGTGGTTATCGTGGACTTCAAATACGGTCGAGCCGTGCCTAATCGAAACTGGCTCGTACTTTCCTACAAGTGTTGACCTCCGCGGGGAGTAGAGGGGTGGGAGGAGCGAAACCGAAGTAGCGTTTTATACGTACAACTTGAGCCACCAGAAGTTTGGCTCATAAGCGCAAACTTAAAATTTAAAAGTAGCATCTTGTAGAGCGACAAAAGTGGCCATAATAATGTATCATTTATTTCGAAATATCTTTTTAAATAACTTCAGTAAAAAATAAAAACGATTTTGCAAAGTTTCGGATTTTTCCGGATATCTCCGAAAGTAGTCGAAATTTTTTAAGTTTCAAAACTGCATTTTTTTAAGCAACAAAATACGCAACTGAGCCAAATTAAACTACCTACAGTTCCCGAAATCCGCATGGGTGCCCTCGAATTTGAATCACCCTGTATAGGTAGTTATAACTGTATAACGCCTTACCTATGGATATCTGTAACTCAGATCCCCAAACACTGTGTATATGGCTAAAAACCTTTTTAATGTCATAAGCTTTCTTTAGGATAGACGAACTATTTTGCCACAACTTTAGAGTTTAAGACTTTTTTTTATTGTATTGTTATAGTATGTTATACTAATTCTACATCTTACTCTTATGACTTATGCAAAACATTGTTGTTAACGCACTAATAAATTATTATTATTATTGGTGATATCTTTATTAAATTGTAAATTCAGATCCTATCCTCAATATAGAATCAATCTAAAGTATTTATTTTGTGCTTGTAAATGTAGTCATCTTATAAATGAAACTTTCAAAAACAAACCTCTTCATCCTGAAGGTGATGAATGAAACAATTTTATTTAAACTGCTTTATTAAAAATTGTGCAATGTAACAAGTAAGGTAGGTAGGTACATATTTAGCTGCCGTGTAAAATTGTTCAGAACGAATCCAGATAAACTCCTTTTAATACAAAATTGTAAACATACATCCATTAGCAAAGAACTACCTGTGCAACATCTAGAAGTAATTCGCAAAATACTCACGACGCGAAGGCTACTTTTAATGGTCCAATAATCATCTGGTGTAAAATTCTCTATTTTCACTGATTATTAGTATCATCTACTTTTCTTTTCTTTTGTTTCTGCAGATCTGTATTTCCCATAAAGTTTTTGAAATATACTTGACATACTTTTTTCAGGAAACAACGTCATAAGAATACCTTCCAGGAGTACACAAAGTAATCTACGATTTAAGACTGGTCGCTGAAAAAGTTCAAACACAGTTAGAAGTCCTCTTCGAGTAGTCTCGGATCCTATAATATGTTTTAGTTCATCTGAAAGTCGGCAGTTTAGTAAACGAATTTGGTGTATAATACCCAACCCGAAAGCCACGATAACAGGGCGGCTTTTGCCGCAATCCTTGTTCTAAAAAGCGTCGCCTCATCTCTTTCCGAGGGTTTTTCTGCTTTAATTCCATGGGGCCAAAAGGAATGCCTATGCAATTTAAGTCTTAAACTAGTAAGACAGGAATCTATGGTACTTACTTAAATGTATGCAAATATTGTGCAACATTTTTGGGACTAGTTATGTATGAAACGTAATCCAATATCCGCCTATTGACAATATCCCCAAACATTGTTCTAACAATTTGCCTAAGTAGTGTAACAATTCGCCTGCGTAACCACTGATTTCGAGACTTCAAGTCAAAGACCTCATCCATCAAAAGCAACATTATTCTCAAGGGGATGTTATCGTCACTCTCCACGTCGAGGGAAGCACCCACCTTACTCGCTTCGGGCATTCGAGTATTTTTACTATGAAACACTTTGGTCAATCCCTCAACCACCTCATCGACCGTATTAAATAATTGCTCTGGCATATTTTTAATGGTTTTCATTCCCGATTTTAGTGGATTTACGATTGTATCAATCTGCAACATCGACAATTACAAGGCAGACATTGAAAGTAGTAAGATTTACAGTATGCGAAATTGGTCCTCCCGATGTGGCTCTATCATACTCTCCTTGTTCAGAAAAAGCCATCAGTAAGTTTCTCAAACCGTGATGCGAAGATAAGACGTGCGTTTGGCACAATTGTTGCAAATAAAAGCCCAACATTCGCATTCTCCTTTCTAATACTGACCGCTCCATATTATGGAATGTTTTTTTACCTGGGAAAGGAATCTTTGATAAATCTGGATACTAGAAGTAAAGGGTTTGAGATTATAACCAATTCTTACTACTGGTCCTTACTTTTTCTTTTATTTTCGTGTGTAAATCGTAGAAATCGCTGTATCTTCTGTAGATGTGCCATTCTTCTGAAAATCCACTATCGTACTGTCGACTGATATGCAAAGCGTATACTCCGAATGTCTTTCCCTTCTCACAAACAATACCTACAAACAATGTTGATAACAAATTTCTGGAAATCCATTTAAAAAGGGGTGAAAGCTTGGTCTTTTCAGGGATTTTAAATTTGTCCAATCCCCCGCTGATTTAAAACATCTCAATCCCACCTACAGGTTTGCTTTTCACGAAAAAACTGTTGACACCTACCTGTTTCGATAATATCCACAGATAATTTAAACTCTGCAGATCTGAGATTTTCAGTTTTATTTTCGTCATCGCATTTCTTCGAATCGGTCAGACAATTGTCCATTTGACTAATACCGTTTATACCGGAATTCTTATCGCTACCAAAATCCGTAATATCACTAAACGAGCGTACGTGCTTTCCTATCTTCTGTTGAATTTCGACAGTTAGAAAAGCGTCGCTGTTCGTCAATTTGCCGCCGCTCTCATTGGCGGATTCTTGTACATTTTTGAGGCTTAAGCAAGGGAGACTAGAATTCGAGTTGTTATGAGGTATGGATCGCTTTTCGATGTTGTTCAGTTCAGCGTTTTCCAGACTGCTAATACTAATCGCGTCATCTTCGATAACGTTTTGCTGGATCAAATCTAATTCCTCTAATAATTTAAGATAAGAGTCGCTGTTATGGAAGGCTGGCAGAAATTCATCTTGCTCCTGAAATTTGTTCAATCAACGATTTGTTGAAAGTATATTTTAGATTTTATTAACGTATTGAATTAAAAAAGGTACGGAAGATTTGCAACATACAACAATGGCAAAAGAATTATGATATGTGGTGGTATTGGCCCTGGTAGGACGTGTAGTAGGTATTTTAATTTTGTTAGGGTTATCCAGCCACCTTTGAAAGGCGCGCATTTGTTTTTAATTTATTTGTAATCACGATACACTTACAAACAGTATGCTCATTATTTTTCTCGAATGCGTGTTCTACTGCGCATTTCAACACATACGAAGTTTCGGCGCCAAAATTCAAACGTTTACGTACATTGTAGTAAATAAGTGACATGAACTTTTTCCAACGCATATTATCGTCAGCAATTAAACGTGTAGCTTACAACTTCATTTAACCACTCTAATTTCAAAAAGAAATCCCACCTATTGGAACCCATGTCGACAGGTAGGCAATACACGTTTCGTATTCGAAGGAACTACATAGTAAGACTAATCTTATTAACGAGCGACAAAAAGAGAGTTTATGATTTTGGACCTTCTGTCCGTCCGTCCGTCTGTAGACATGATAACTCACTAACAGTTTCGAATTTTCCAATTCTGTTTTTAGCAATAGGTAGACAATGGTCAAGGGACTAAATGATTAAATTTTGGTCAATATTCGTCAACTGGGACTGACTTTGTCACTTGTTGTCTATATTGGTACAGTTTATTATATTTCACATCCAAACAAATAGCGTTCAATTATCCCATAGCTGGTTACTGGTTTCTTCTCGTTTTCTTAACAATATAGCACGTATTATCCTTTGTGATCATAATACAAACGCGCTGCAACGACATCATATAAATAAACTGATAATCTGAAGTAAATTTACTCCGTCGGAAGCCCGGGAACATCTACAGCTGAGTCCACTATTACCATTACACCTAAACATTGCATTAATAGACCTAATTAAAATGAAGATCCTCAACTTTACTTACTGTTTTTTTGTGTTATTCTCCGCGCCATCCATTAATTAACTGCACCACATACTACCAACTATGCTAAAAATAACCCCAAATCTTCCATGTAAAAAAACCCGAGAAAAAACCATTTCAGGAATAACAATAATTAAATAGGCGTCTATTAGCAAGCATTGTTATTCGTATAACGGGTTAATTAACTTTTTTAGTGAATATTATCATAGAATAAATTTACTCTATGATAATAATCAATAAAAAAGCGGCACATCATGTTTAGGGCTAATAGTTTTGGTTTATTTCACAAGACCGTGAAATCACAGACATACCGGACGGGACGATCTCTACACAAACCAATTTGTGGATATAAGGAGCGTAATTTTGCTGCATAATATCAAGTACTCCATATTCTGTGATTTTATTTCGCACATGACCTCACACTACATGCGCAAGAACATACCATTGTAAGTGTATCATGGTTGTAATAATTCATTAATGTCATTTATCTTATTTGAAATTAAAACTTTATATATCTTAACGCAATTGCGCGATTCGCTATGTTGTAATATGCTCAGTAGAAGCGTTACTGAAAAAGGCGTCCGCGCCACTAATATTTATCTGTTTTATTTATACAGGTAAATTAACTTTTTCTACTACCATCACCACAGTACACCATACACTTACCAAACAGATTTGTTTCAGTGAAAGAATCTAAATTTCTGTAGACATTTCATACCTGCAAAATATCATACATCACAGCTTGAATTTCGTCAAACCATAATTCTGAAGGTGGCTCGGTCAAATTTTTAATTCTAAAGTACAAAGTTTGTACCAGAAATGGCTTAATTTGAATTTTATGCTGTGCTTTGTCCGCTAAATATTGATCATAGATATGTAAAGCAGTAGTCCTAATATTTTCATAAACAATAGATTCGTTCTCAGCTTCACATTTTATTTTATTAATGTGAAATTCGGATAGCTGTTGTTCCACGGATATTTTCCACCCTGTAAGGAAATCGGTCAGTACAAACTTCACAATTACGACAATGACTTACCCTCAATGTTTAAATAAAAAAATAAATACGATTGCCTACCCATTAAAATAACAAAATCGATAAAATATGATAAAGCTACATTATTTTTTAGTATAATCTCTAACGGTAACTTAATTTTTTTTATAGATTCCAACGTTGCATCTTCCAAAGTGTGATTAGATTCTACAATACGAAGACTAACAATCGTGTTAGTTTAACGAAAAATACAAACCTGATCCTTCGGATGTTTGCAATTTCGATAGACGATTGTCTATTAATTTGGTAACGTAAAATAAGCTACTTAATTGCTGCTTTATCGAAATATCACATTCTCCTCCTGAATCTCGAGAACGCTAAAAAGAGGAATGGTAAACGACGCGGGGCGAATTCAAACACTTACCAACACCTGAATTTCCTTAGCAACCATTTCTCGAGTATATTTTAATTCATCACAGTTATCAGTTAATCGTAAGGTGGATAAAAATATTTCGCTTGGCAAAAAATTATCGCGGGCACACTGCAATTTTTCTTGTAATTCATATCGAAAATAAAACAAAACTCACCAGCCAAATAATACTTTGGTTTATAAAATCTGGATTTGATATTACACCGATAAATGGCAAAATAACATAATTAGAAAATATCTCCCTTAAAACAGCACGAAGCGATTTGCACTGAAAATCTTCATCTGGCAATAAAATATATAGCAACAGCTCGATCAACTCTGAAAAAAATTCTAAAACAACACAGTGTTTTTACATCAATATTAGTACACGAAAAAATTACCTTTCTCCCGATTACTGTCCATACAAACCAAATCTCTACAGACCTTGTTCTCTTCCATTTGGCACTCTAATTCGAAGAAATAATCTTCCAAAGTTTTCATTTGATCAGGTACATAAAATTTTGAACTACCCACACCATATTTTTCATTCTCTAAACATTAGCAAAGTTACCCTTAGGTATTTAACAAGAGAGGTGATTAGAACCTTTACTTCCGGTGTACTTCGTCACATCAGCTTCGCTTTTATTTCGCTTGTGAACAGATTTCCTCTTTTGTTCTTTTCCCGGCGAGCGCTGCTGCATTTTTAACTTATTGCTGTTCTCCAGTTTCAAGCGCGCTTGCTTAAATAGTCTCAGATGGGAAGCAGCGTCGTCTACTAATTTGGTTGTCAAATATGAAATCCAATCCACTTCTTTCACTCTATAAAACACGAGATAAGATGTTTCTGATTTTTGGATACATGTATACAGGGTGTTCCAGAGCAAGTGGAATTGGCCGACTAAATAAATAGCACTGTTGAAGGTAATTTCGATTAGCACGTTTCAAAGTTTGAGTCGCATTAGAAGCTTCATACCAAAAATCGCTACCGAGGTTGTTGCCAAATGAAATTGGGTGCAATATTGAATTTTTGCATGGTTAAAGAGTTTTTGGTTCTCTTTAATCCAAGGGAAAAATTTCCATTTCTGCGCATGCGTAGGTACATTAATCGTCCAGATTTTTATTGGTTGAGGTGCCAGAGCTATACCCGAGGCTATACCCTACCGAGTGTAAAAAGAACGAACTAAATATTTTAAAGACTGTAGGAATAGTAACTGCCTCAGACGGACGGAAAAAGTGGACATAATAGCGCCTTCCAACATGGGTTGGAAAATACGCTAAAAAGTTATGCCAGTAACCAGTAGCCTATAATTTTATTTTTTCATCATTTTTGAGCTTTGCCCATTTAACTTAATCTCCATTGAACAAATGAAAATTAACTAATCTGATCGACCTTGTACAGAGTTTATATTGAATGAGTTTATTGTTAACATTTCAAACTGTTTTTTGCAGAAATATGAAAGTTTGTATTACAAATGCAATGGTATTAAAATATACAGGGCGGGCCATTAGTGTATGGGTGGAAGATTGTGGGTTTATTAACGCACATATTTATAATTCCTCGTTGGGGTATGTTGAAGGACTCTTAAGGCTACAACATCGGAAGAAATCAGAACTTTCTGGTTTTCTTTACAGCATCCTCATAACTCTTTAATGGTTTCCAAGATTTCCATGAGAGACATCCTAATCTTCGCCACAATGTATGTTTACAATTTGTATGCAATAATGAATGCATTTTTGCACTCGTATGCAATTTTCAAAACATGGTTATCCAGTTCGATACGAGTTGATTGCAAAAATGTACTTTTTTCTCAATTGCCCTGCCCTATACTCGCCACAAATCGAATGTTGAAAAGAGTTTCGTTTACTGTGCAATTAAAAATTTTACAGCAGATATTAATTGACATTTTAATAGGTTTGAAGGAGTATAGGCTAACTCTCTTTGTAACATCAGTAAGTGATCTCTTTAACCGCAAAGTTAAATAAAGTAAAACAAATGAGCTAATGGTTTCCGTTATTAAAAATGAGAGGCAGAGCACAAAATAGAATGAAGTTCAGAACAGAAAACAATATTGTTTCCATGAAAATGACAGAAGAACTCAACCTTACTATTTTTAGGATCTAAGAAGTTTTATATTTGCGGACCCTTTTCTTAATATGATCGGCGTTAACTTTTTTTTGTTTTTTTTTACTATTGCTAATTTGTTTGATTGTTTACATTTTTTGTTCTTCTACTTTTTTCTCATTTTGAATTTATCCTATGAACTTTTTGCCATTATGATTGATCAAGAAAAAGTAAAAAAGCAGGGTTAAGTGGTAGAACAGATGGTAGTGTAGTATTACACTACCATTCTGAACTTCGCCCTTTTGGTTTAACGGTGTTTGTGTCATTTTTCGTTTTATTAAGTTATTTTATTTTTTATTTCTTGTTTTGTATTTGTTAAATGATATTTTTATGATACCTCTATGAACATGGAAGCAGTAAATCTGGAAAAATTTAATAACCATTTTTGTGTTTCTTGAGACCAAATATGTAAGACTTCAACTGCTTCAACGTAAAAGACGTGGAAGAAAATACCTTCATGGCATTGTAATAAACATTCGCAAACAAATGGTTTCATAATGACATGTGAAAATAAGTATCTACTTTCCCGACACCTCATTGATTAGTGCACAAAATAAATATTTTTGATATCATCCGAAAGGGCATACCTCAACGACACAATTGAAATAATTGAATATCATAAGTACCTATATTTAAACTATTAAATACATAATATAAAAGGAAATAATAATGTCTTTTATTCTCATATCTACCATAATAAAGTCACAAAAAATGCTAGAAAGTATACTAAGAGGGGGTCAACATGTTGACACAAGGTCCTCAATTGTTACTGTACGTCTCACCCTAGTAGTAATCTACTCGTAACTAACCAGAATGGCATCAAATCATGCCATCCTAAATAGTTTATTACTTTATTCACATACGAGTTCACATACATTCGATTATTTCTTAAGAGTTTGTGACGAAGACGAGTTTACAAATAATAGCTGTTATTAACGTGTACTCACCCTACATAAATGATCTGAAAAAGTGAGTAAAAAGTAAAACAACACAATTATATTCACAGGTGACGATCCTCTAAGTCTAGGCACCATGCAAAGAGATCACTCACGGTTATGGGCATTACGAAACTATTAAATATTGCTCAAAAGGGTTAATTTCACAGGAATTTATATTAAATGGGGAAAACTTTGCTGTTTTATATGCCTTTATTAGAACACCTTTTGTTTTTACAAAAATATGTATTCATGATTTGCTAGATATCTTTATTTATAAATGCTTGGTGGTTGATATTTAAAAAAAACATACGCGTATTTTTGTAATTAGATTAGAAATATTGCCTCCTGTATTTTCAGTTTTTATGTAGCACTAATAGTAACGGAGTTACAGTGATAAGGAGGTTTTCTACTTTTCGCAATGAGAAATACAAATCGCTTTTTTGTGTAAGGTTTAAGTTCTGACTTGAGCTCTGGAGTTTTGTGATAAACCTTGTAATAGAAAATAAGGGACTTTTGAGTACTCTTAAGTACTAAGTGAATAGTTTTGATTAGATTTCAAGACAGCTGCAATAGGAGCCGCGTAAAATTGGGTAATTTTTAGCAGTTTCTAGGTACAGCAGTGCTGTAACAGCACAGTATGTTCAGAATGTGATGACTCAGTTTTGACATACCAGTATATAATATGATAACAAAAGAACATTATTGTGGAGATATGTGCTGAAATTAATTATGTCTTTGTCTTACTTATGTAATAAAATTTAATATTCCGTCTGTGAATACGCATCATCTACTCTCATATAGCGTAAAGTGGCAATTTATAATTAAAAGTCACTTTTAAAACCACAGCTGCGCCCTTTTAGACATAAGCAGGCTATATTGGAGGATTACCTTTGCAAAGAAACGTGAAATTTGCAATGTGAATGCTTCTGGAAGAAGGATTTATGTTACCAATTCAGTTTTGATGGCAACCATAGCCTGGACCACAGCTATTATGCAAAGAAATACAAGCTAGTCAGGTACAAAAAACAACTTCTATATGCAGCACTAAGAAAACAAATTACCTTACTTACGCTCCTGGAACCCTGATAAGCACTCAAGCTACACAATTTTTCTACAAAACTTACCGGTTACTAATGTTTATTGCCAAACTTTGGGAGGTTTTTCGTATCGTGAGCTCGGGAAATTCGCTATTTAAGGAGATTAAATTATACCACGGAGTAATGTAATCGCGAATAATGTATCCCAATATTTCTTGCAACGAATTATCGATAAGTTCACTTCCAGTAACTCTTCGATCCGTTTTCAACAACTGATGTTGGCTTTGTAGCGCATCGATAATCTGCACAAAATGAAATTAGTAGGTGGGTCAAATACAAACTGTTTACTACCTGTTCCAATCCTCCGTACGAAACATCCTCAACAGACAGAGGATTTCCTGCGCACTTCTTATAAAAATCTTCGTCGTCTCCGTGTTGCACATACAGCAAAGAGATTAACCTACAATGATATGTTACACGCACAATGAGCAGTAAGAGTCAATGTACAAACCCAACACAAAATGCAATTACGCTCGTAAGTACAGTAAAGCACCATAATACTCCAAAACTTGTTAAAAATAAAAAACAAATCAGTATAATCCATCGAATGCTGTGGTTATCCATAGTTTGAAATGAAATTAAAAGTTAAACGTACTTTGTTAGACATCTGAAATTATTTTTGTACTAATGAACTGATTATTAATTGTTTATTTATTTATTTGCACGTTTTAATGATCACATGATAACTTTTATCAGCATTACGCTAATCAAATTTCTTGAGAAATGTCACATTTGGAATTTTTAAGGTTATTAATTCAATTGTTGTTGCCGAAAATTGACGGCCAAGGCGCTCCTGTAGTAACTCATTCGTAAATTACTCATTGGCGGTAACGGACGTGTTTGATTAGTTGCCTACGCTACAGGAGCGCGAAAATTTGAAAAATGGCAACTTTTTTCGATACGATCAAAGCGATAATAACTCGGCTGGTGTTTGCGTGTCACGGCCTAATTGCAATTTGGCAAGTTACGATATTTAAAAAGAACGTTTTCTTTTGGTACCTCAGCTCCCCGTTACTTCTGTTATTTTTTGAGGGAATTTTTACATTGACGATTAAGGAGAACCAAGAATGGAAATGGTATGTCTACATTGTATGTTATTTAAATGCTTTTGTCCATTCATGATTCATGGTCTGTCAGTCTGTGTGCTTTAGTAACGATTTGTTTGCGAAAAGATTTGAACATCGATGGGGAAAATATTTGCCGTATCATTTCCGCGCTAATTCACCCCTAATACGTTTTGATTGACTGGAAATCGTTAAAGTGCAGGAAATTGCTTCTTTTCATAGTAATTTATACACGATTTACCTTGAGTAGCAATGGCTAATTACGCCGCTAAGAGTTGGCAAACAAAACTTTCCGAGAACCGCACTATTTTGATGGACGCGTTTGGATTTACTGTAACGGTGTCGTTTGCGAGGACCACCCTGTGTAGTAACAATTGGTTTGGGCTTCGTTACATTACTTATTGCTACAATTTCAGCGTATCACATATTATATATTGCTGTGTGCAATGGCATGCGGTCACTACACCACCCACAAAACACCTGCCCAGCTAGGTCAAAACAAATCAAAATTGAGACTTGCAATTTTATAATCTCTTCTCGTATTCTTCCGCGGTATCTGTTATATAAAGAAAAATCTCAATATTCACTTAAAATTTCTCAATTTGAGAGACTAGAAAGCTACAAACTTCTCTCTGACTTGTACTACTTCGATGACGATGTAGTAACTTACATATTTTATTAAAATCGCTTAACTTCTTCTGCACACAATATTTCAATACCGACGAATTATGTTTTCACATAAACAGGCCGACTGAAAAAAAAATCGCGTAAAAGCAATGTGCACGGTATCAAAGCCCAGCCTTCTCGTTGTCTTTAGTATTTAACGAAAAACCACTTCTCCCAAAAAATAATCTCCAGCGATAAAACAAGTGCGCATTATCCAAAGCGATAACATTAAAAAAAGGATTAAAACCAAAACTACTCAATTACAAACAATTCTAAAAAGAAAACCAACACCAAAATACAAATTCAAGTAAAATAAATCAACTTTGTGTTTATTCGTGAATAACCCACCAATTTGCATTTAAAATTGATAAACTACATCAATTAAAATTATTAATTTTGCAGTATTTTTTTAATTTAATTTTGGTACCTATCACTTTTCGTATAAAACAAAAGCCGTAGTTATAGCATTTTTTATGTAATTTTTTTTTATTCTCCGTGCAATGGCAACATAATATACAGGGTGTCGAATTTAAAAACAAAAAATTAAAGTCATTTATGAATGTTGTGTGCAATACAATGAGTTGTTTTTGTTTTAGACTTTTGAATAGTTCTTTCGTTTTAGGTTTTGCCCCTCAGTCTTCTTATATTTGGCAAGCATAGTACCGGCAATTTGGCTTTTAGAACTGGACAAAGTAGATAGAAGGTTGAGAACGCGCGAGGAAATGATAAATTTGACAGCAAACGCGGGAAATCAACTGGCGCAACTGAACAACTTCATAGGGGCAAGTTATTTTAAATCTGTAAGGCAAATTAACTTCTTTCATAGGTACAAATCCAACTCCCGGAAATTAATTTGAGCACCGAAACCTGGATTAATCTGATAGAACAATTTTTGATGCTAATTCTTATTATCGGAAGGTGGATGCTACCGAAAGGCGATCTAACTAGAGACCAATTAAGTCAAATTTTATTGGTGTACATTGGTACTATTATGTGGTATAAAGGAAAACTGTAGGTGGTGTGTTTTATTTTTAGGTACAGCCGCAGATATTATAGAATTTTTTGACTCTTTCAAAGACGACAAAGTAGCGTCAGAAGAGATCCTAGTCATACTAACTCTGTCAATATGGTAGGTATGAACTTTAAAGTGGTAATAGTTTGCATGTTTAAATAATTTGTAGGACCTGGAGCTTAATGCAATTTACAGTCGTATTAACGGCTACAAAATCAAGAAAATCGCGAATGTCCTCAACTGGACCATCAAAAAAATTGTAAAAGCGAAATGCCTAGTTTGTTTGCACTAACAGAATGCGCGTTTCAGAACAAATCGATGTTGCAATATTGACGTTTGGGGAATCGCATTAAACATAATACTCCAAGACGCTCCATTTTTGGCGTTTCGTCTTTTAATGATAGTCCACTATAAGATCATTTCGTATATGAACGTATTCTTTACGTGCAAAAATACGCTCGTTATTGTTTTACAAGTGTACAGGTTGCACGTGGTCTACAGCGAAAACAAGCGAATGTCGAAAACCAAAGATTTCGAATTGACGAGCATTTCAATTATTTCCAAATCGGACGTATCCACTTATCAAACTCCCAAAAAACATCAACGTGTGCAATCACGTAAAGAAAGAGTTCGGAAGAATAGTGCTCCTGGGTAGGTATAATGGCAGTTTCTTTGGAACGATTAACTATTTCAATGTTTAGCAAAGCAAAACCAAGTCGAAAGGATACAGGGTATTCAACCGAAAGTTCGCATAATAGCTCGAAACACAAAGTACGGCGAGAGGACAAAACGGCCCGACGCGAGAAACCGCAGAAGAAGGAAACGACGTCGGAAGACAATTACTCTGATTCATCTCGTACCTCTGAGAAACCTAACGCGAGATCAAAACGTCGATACACGCGACAATCGTCCACGTCTCCGTCGACAGAATGACGTCATCTCACAGCCATATTGGCAATATTCCTTCTTTATATTTTGATATTTATTTGTTGCTTGATTTTCATTTATTGCGGAATTAATACGGATGGCTTAATTATAGCGAGAATTTATAATTCAGTTCGAAACTCAACACTTCGACAATAAAGAGTATTGTTAATTACAATCTTAGAGCAGTAATAATCGTAAAATAAGGCACTAGCTTAATTTTTGGAGAGAGATCGTATGTAGTTTGCAAGGGAACTAGTATTAGTATTGTTCAGTAAAGAATATAAATCACATGTATCGTACAGGAGCGTTGTTAAATTACTCAACGCATCGTTCTCACTATCCTCTTCAGTTAAATTGTCCTTTTGATTAAGAATTGTGCGAAACTGCTTCACCTCAGTTACATAGTCCAACACGAGATGCAAATTCTTATGGGCTATAATACCAAGTTGATTATTATGCTGTTTCCTCTCTACGTCCTGAGAATATCTAACAAATTTTTTACTCCTCTTGGTCGCTCTGATCGCTTTTTTCGTTCCACCATTAACGTATTCTATGGTAGAAGTTTTTTCATTATACCAAGACGTTTCGTGCAAACCGTCAACGGGCCATTCGCGATAATCGTCTTCTCTTAGGGGACTGGGAGGATTAAGAATTGCTCCAGTTGTTCGGTTAGACTGACGAATAGGAACGGCTCTCTGGAAATAATTAGACCAGTAAATTAATCGTGAATATTTGTTTGGGTCAATATATGTATGACGCTTCCATTTTTGGATCAAATCACTGTTACTATTTACCGATAAATATAATAATTTAATTTATAATAAATTGTCAGTTATTGGCTTAAAAATGATCAACGTAGTACAGTTTCCAAACTCGAGTTCCACACATTTTCAGGATCCAGGAAAAAGGACCCCACCCAAGATCTGAGAACCGACGTGTAAAGCACACGCCTGCAGATCGTATGACTACATACCCAGAATGCGGTATGTAAAACAAATGCAAGTAAAACGGTTCCTAAAAGGCCGTTCACTCAAACAAACTTCAAAACAAAAACTAAAATGACGCGATTTGGACTTACCCGACTATTTCTTCTGGAGCGAGCGTTAAAAACTGAAGGCGGAATTGACAAATTTTGCGCCAGCTTAATTGACGCCTTGTCCATTTGTGTTTTTCGGGCAGGATTTTTTCTCTCCGGAAGAGTAACTTTTCGTGGTAAAACCGGGTCAAGTTTAGTTTTGCATTTCTTAGGACTTTTTATTTGGTATTGTTCTACAAAAACCACGTCCTCATCGCAGGATCCTGGGGGTAATTCGGTATCTTCGGTCTTTAGTATTGAAAGCGGTGGCGTAATTTCTTCTCTTGTGGTTGTAGTAGTTTGCCGACTGGTGTTCTCAAAATCGAGTGTCCCATTCGAAATTGTACCGTTAAGCGTGATGCAGTTGGATTGTGGTAAACATCCGTTGGGACTATAGAATACAGAATTGAACGGTGAGATTGCGTACTGCACGGGAAAGTTACACGTTCTCCAATCAATATTTATGTCATTGTGTGCAAGTGTCGGATAAATGTTGATAATCTTCATGTCTTCGTTTGAAACGCTGAAATTATGCGCAACTTCTACTTGCTGCTTCGCCACCTCCGAGGGATACACTAATTGAACGTGAACCTAAAACAAATCTGTTTCAGTTCTATGCCTATGGGTTGCGTCTGGTGAAGTTGCTCCAAGTAGGCATAGAGTACCCCTAGTCCGTGGCTCTCTAGTTGGAGCAACTTGCAGGAAATCAACGAACAGACAAATAGACGCTCGGAAATAGATAAACAATTCGAGGCTTTTAGTAGTCATACCGAGCACCGAGTGAGATTTTTTCAGTCGTGGGGGCAAATACGAAAACGAAACGGAAAGTACAAATTCAACTATGGTTCCGCTAATTAAAATGGGAACCCTTTCCCGAAAAGATTATAGCGAGTCGTCCCTTTGGGAGATATGACATTAATCATCTGAATCGTCATTTGCATCATTTTCTTTGCTTAATGCCGCATTTATGGCTAGAGTAAGTATAATACTGTGCAAATCAAAGCGACCTACAGGGAAAGGTTCTGGTTGAAAGTGTATTAATTGCATGAAAAACTAATTGAAGTAATCGTGTACTAAAAGAAAATAAAAATTTCTACCTACTTGATTATTTATGACAGTTGCATCTTCTGTCTTCCCAATTCTGACATTGTTTAAAAGTTTTGAATTATTCACCTCGTCCACGTCTTCCTCGATGCCTTCACCTAAACTTTTGCCATCGATAACCATTGCTACACCATTGAAGAGACAATCGTCGTTAACTGTATGCAATGACGGCATAGTGTCGGTTAAACGATTTCCCATTTGATTCTGTTAAAGAATTATCTATTGAGAAGATTAAAACCTACATTCGTCAAACACAACAGAGTGGCAGTTCACTGAAAGGTGATCATTAATTCCACCTTAAACCTGAATTCAGTAAACTTCCACATGAAAAATTAATTAATTATAATAGCTACGCACCTTTTCTTCAAAATGCAAAATAAATCCATAAAATGTCACGAAGCATAAGAGTAGGTATAAGTACGCGCTGTAAGTGCGTAGAGTGCGCCTACTAAAAATGAACATTGTTTTTTATGGCATCAGGTGACAAGTGGACGTTACCTGCTGATTTACACCAACAAAATACCTAGTTTCTCCCCAATAAGCCATTTCAAATGCCAATGGTACTAAATTTCTTGCAGTTTTTGAAAGAAATATTTGTTCATAGAGAAATTCATTAGGCACCCGCGTTTATTATTGCTAAAAATTCACAATTATAGCCTTTCGCAAGGCAAAGAAAGAATCAAGCATCTAATGATATGACAGTGGAAGGATAGGAGAATGTTTTCATAATGTAACACGGCGTCTCTCTCATTTTAAAAATCCTACAATTAAACTGACGCCATCACGTCGTTGTTTAAAGATTAGTTGTACCCGCTTTCAGCTAAGCCATGTAAACCAACTTGGAAGTCCTCAAGAAGATATTCATTACTTTGAAAAAGTTCGAACCTTACCCACTTCCAACACAAGTTTTCTAGATTAACAGAAATTTGGTTTTGGTGGTCAATATTCGATATTCTCACGCGTTGGGCGTCAGTGTACGTAGCATTTAACATCCGGTTAATTGGTATATATTTTCACTTCCTATTTTTGGCAGCAAGAGTCCGCTTGACATCGTCCGTGTAATCACAGAGATTAATGCATAATAGACGAGTCACCTACTTTATCTGTTTCTTCTCGTTGTTCTCGAAACAGCGCTTCGCTATCTCGCACATAGCGTTGTTAGTAAATAAAATCAATTAATTTATCCGATAACGCCTTTACAAATCTTCTGACCGTACTTTTATCTTACGCCGCCCCTGAAAAAATTTTGACTACTATTCCAAATGCGTAAACCGGAAAATACTTAAATTTTTCACTACAGGGTGGTTCCCTCGGATCTTCGACATTGTTTCAAACGAGAAAACGAGACCTACCCCCTGCAGTTTACACAACAATATAATACAGCTCTAATTAGATTGTCGTTTACATTACGCGACGGTAAGTGTTATAGTTGACGCTTAATTGTTTTTTACTCTCTCTTAATTTCATGATAATTCGTACCTATTTTTCTGCGCGAACAAAAGTGGTAGTATGCTGGAATGAATGCGCTTCAAACTTCCTTTACTTTTAACTAACGGAACTCGCGTTATTACATTTTACATTCCAAACACACATACTAGTTGCGATGGCTGTTCAAAATCGAATCTGGTTCACATCTTTCACAATGGCTTCCCCATTTGTAATAACGACGATCTGAACACGAATCCTTTTTCCAAACTTTACCAGTAAACCCACTCGATACTATCGATTCCATCTCGATCTCAACGCGAAAATAAAATCTTAAGTTGCGATGTTTGTTAATCACTTTCAGAACTTTGTCGACAATCGTACAGTTCTTTAGCGTGACCAGAACGCGAACGCGAACGCCTTAAAAATCTCCCGGAATGATGCTTAATTAATGACTCCTACAAAATGGCGAATTATCAAACCAGGCGGCCATGTCTAATCACTCTGTCTTTCTGCACTACCCATTAAAGCTGACATAGGGTCCTCAACATCATCTGATGGAAGAAAATGATAGCACAGATGAATATTTGGAGAATCCAATCACAAAATGTACCTGCACCTAATGTATTACCTACTAACATAAAATACAGCATGTTTTTATAAATTGTGTGATATTTAATATTTTACTATTTTATTCTATTTTGTTATTTGTTGTTTTGTTATTGTATAAGCGCTCACCTTTTGCCTCTTCGATTGAGGAGAATATTCAGAGACAAATTTTTCGCGTATCTTCCCAGAACAGCCTTTCCAATAGGAATTTTCCGAACGAATAATTGAAAGTCGGATTTAGACTCGGTTTTGGAGAAGAATCTTCCGAGGACGATCTTTCTTCTCATATGCTATGCTGTGGAGACAAATTTACCGCAATAAGAGGAACTAATTATGAAATATGAAATAGTTAACCACATTTTTTTAACCAAAGAAGACTAATTTGAAGTAATGAAATAAACACACGTAGGTAGAAATGTTTGTAAGAAAATTGTTCTCGCTCTCACGTGCAGGATTAATTGATTTATGCATGTAATTACATACACAAAACTTGCTACAATGGATCGAATTCTTTTATCCAAAAATATATAGGACCCAAAAACTTCCAACAAACGTCAAAAATTTTACTTTATTGTACAAATCTAACTCATTCTTCCTCGCTTCTATGCGAGCCTAATTTAACCCTATTTGATTCCCACCCCATTGTGAGATCGAGTGCAAAGTGTTCCTAAATTTAGTCCACAAACCACAATTTACTTTTTTGATTTGTTTTGGCACCCTGCCCGGTTGTTCTGATTGCCAAATGATTCGCTATCGAATTAAATCTTCATTTATTGCTTACAGTCGTGCGCGGTTGAATAGAGGCCTGTTAAATGTCCCA